TATGTCACACCTACATGTGTGTCTCACCTTGTGATTTTTGGCAACACGCTCTGTAGGTCATTGAAAGGTGATCATAAATGGGGGCGTTTAAAGGGGGATGAGCATTGGACAGAAAGGCTCACTAAATCACAGCTGTTTGTTATTGTTCCTTCCTGCCTTGCTTCCTTTCTTCCTTCCCTTCCTCCCCCCTTCTAATTTAGCTTCTCTGCAGCTACTCACATCCATTCCAAACAGGAACAATCATTCATAAACTCATGTAGCTAAAGTGTTCAGGATCTTCCTACTGCATAATTCTTTTTTTGCTCTTCCTCTTCTGTCTTTGTCAGTTTTACCTCATTCCTCCACTGTCTGCATTGTCCCCTTCTCTCTCCCTGCTGCACACTGGTCAAACAACAGGGCCCTTGTGATAGCAAACTGAGGAAGTAACCAATAAAGGGAGATATGTATTTGACCGAAGAAAGCGAAGAAGGGAAAGAAAGAGTCATCTGGAGATGTTTAAGTTGGACAGGCCAGTTTCCGGTGTCTGGAACGGGCCAAAAATATCCAGAAAAAGAAAAATCTAGCAGGAGGGGAAAGGATACACCTCTGCATTTCTCATGTGACCTTCTACATTCAGCAAACTAAGCTGAATTTTGGGCTTGCAGCATGAGCTACGACAGCAACGAAAACCTCTCGGAGCCAAGCCCATTAAATTTAATTGCATCTTCGTATTGCTTAATGTCTGGGAAAAGAGCATTTCTGATGCATCCCGTGAATGTAAGATATGGTGCAATTGCATTTTGGCTCAGACAAAGTGTTTGACACACAGATCTGAAACGAAAGATAATCATTAGACAAAAAAATGGCTCATGTATCTCCCTGACAACTTAGCGGAAGGTGTACTACATACCCTATTTGTACATGTGCTACATGTGGCTTCACGCTATTTTCATAACAAAGGGATTACTCATGTAGTAATACAATAATAGAAAACAGACTAGCCTACGCTTGTCGAGTCATTCAAAAGACTTTGACAGTAGGTATAGCCTTAGCCCAGCCTTCCCCAGCACACATTAGTATCTATTTATGGTACCAAAAACTGGACTGTTCTTGTTATGTTAACAACTTTGTGGTTTCAACGGCTGCTGCTCCAGCTGTGTAAGGTGAACACAAGTACCCAATTTAGGTCATGCAACAAAAAAAATAATAAGTATTTGAGTCAGTCCAACGGCAGAGCACTGAAGGCCAGAAATCATTCAAGCGAGCCAAGCCTGAGAGCAAGGAGATCTGTGTTTTAAAAGTGCAGACAGGAAGTGACAAGCCTGGAGAGAGCCAATCCAGGGATGTAGAGATTTAACCGAAACTCCTGCTCTTTTCATGAACCATGTAACCATTTTAGACCTGTGGAAATGTATGAAAATACTGTTTCCTCCTAAGCAATAAGTCATATGAGGCATTTCAAGGGGGAACCCAGAATGCAATGCAATTTCTTCTAAGTACCCCTGCAGCTGATTTAATGAAGTAGGTAGACTGTGATCACTGCTCATTGTGCAATACACACTTGTTTTAAAGGCAGACTGTAGGTGTGCTCTGCAGACACAGATGTCTGTTTGGGTTTGTAAGCAGCACACACACACACACACACACACACACACACAGGCGCGGAGAGAGGGAGAGAGGGAGAGAGAAAGAGAGGTCTGCAGTTTCTCATGGCTGTGAGCCGCTGCAAAAAAAATTCTCCTCATCGCCTCCTCTCCCCGCCCCCACATCTTGTCTCCATTATTCCCGTGTTTTCGAAGCAACTCCGATGACAGCGAGAAACATAGCTGGCAAAGTGGAGGCAGTTCGACCGTTTCTTAGCCGTTTCTTCCGGTCGTCCCCCTCGGTTGCTGACCGTTGGTACGGTCTCCTGCTATCCGCACGCTCCCTCGCCGTTTTGTGCACGGTGCCGGTAGCGAAAAGGGGGGTGTGTGGGGTGGGAGGTGGTGGGGAGGGGGGAGAGGAGGAGGAGGAGGAGGAGGTTGGTTCGACCGGGACTAGCCCCGTGAGAAGCTCTCTGCTTTCAGAAAGGAGGGAGGTGAAAGCCAGCCTTTTTGGAAAACGGTCGCCGTTAATTAGCACCGAGTTATCTCTAGGCTAGAATGGCGGAGATGTAACGTCTCTGATGCGTTTAGAGGATACTGGGAATTCACAGAGAGCTGCGTCGCTTGCAATTAACGTTAACTAATGGTCACTAACATGGATGCTGATGTTCCTCCTCCCCTAGGCCGGCCGGGAAAAGGCTTTTTTTTGGACGATTTTCTGGCAGTAACGCGACTCATTTCTTTCTGGGATTAATTTTCTTTTTTTTTCCAACCCTCTTGGAGCCGGTTTTGTGTGTGGGAGTATCGCAGTGAGCGTTTGTTTGCAAGGTAACTAACTAATGATAACGTTACAGCCGTCGCCAGCACTGACCGAGCATCACTGTCAACTGTTTGTGTGTGCTCCTCTTTAATTGTGGTGCCAGCTCCAGCGAAATAATGACACGTTGTGAACATGGCTGCTTTATACATTGTTCATTTTCATCCCTTTGCCCTTTAATCTGGTCGTTTTTTTTGTTTTGTTTTTTTTTCTTCCAGTGCCAGTGAGTCAGGGCCTGAGGATGTAACGTTAGCCAATTCAAACCTGACAAGTAGGCCTAATGGGTCAGAAATGTTGGTGGATTTAAACACAGCATGAATCACACACCAGGATAAGGTGATGTAGCTGGTACCCCCTTGTGTTGTTATCCTCTCAGTGGAACTACATTGTAATTTAATGTTTACAACATACCCCCAAAGTCAGTGTCAAGATGCTGCAAACATATTCAGTAATGTTATAAAGGCTGAAATGTCTCACGGTGCAGTCATTTTACATTAAGTTGAAAATATTCTACATTCTGTGTTTTTTTTTTTTTTTCAGCCATGTTTAATGACAAGAAGCTATTCATAGAAACTTTATTACATCTGGTTTCATGGTGGATAGAAACTCAGTCGCATGTGTCCAATACCACAAAGTGAATTTTATGACTAAAACCAATAAGCGTCTGTCTCTGCCAGATTGGGCTGCCTAATTTTACCCTCCAGGCAGTGATTTGTTACCTTGACGTTAAGGTTTATACTGTTCCCAGGTGCCCTCAAGCAGAGTGGCAGTGAGAGTGTGTGTGTGTGTGTGTGTGAGAGAGAGAGAGTGCACAGTGTCTGCATTGCAGTTTAAAGTATTGCAGACAAGATACTAAAGTAAGATGTTTGGTCGGTATACTGTAGTCTTGTCCTTTCTTCTATCACATGTCCAGGCTCAGGAATAGTGGAAGAAGATTAGTTTAGCCAGCCACATGTTTTTCAGAAGTCAGATATTTGTTTACAGCCTTAAAAGGTCCAACCTTTGAAACGCTTGACATCTCACGGTTGTTATATTACCTATATTTGATTACAGTGAATCACGTTTGCAGTACTCAGTAGTCATGCTAGTAATTACAATCACTGTATGAAACGTGGAAAGTTTTGGAAAGGTAATGTAACTCCAAGACTTTAGAGTGGGAGATGAAAACAAAAGCCAATGTTTGTGTGTGTGTGTGTGTGTGTGTGTGTGTGTGTGTGTGTGTGTGTGTGTGTGTGTGTAGTGTGCGTATGTCTGTCTGTCGCTGTGTGCACAGGTGCACCCAATCTAAACCCTCAAACCACAAGAGATCAATGGTGAGTGGGAGGGTAAACCGAACCCTTCAAAGTAGCTAGAAGCCACACACACACACACACACACACACACACACACCAGTAGTCATTAAGCAATGTTCACATAGGGTTGAACGCTGAGACACAACTCTGTCAATCCTCTCCACCACTCTTTCTCCGGGATCTTCAGCTCTCTGCGAAACTCTCACCTCGAACCTGCCACCTCAATGCAAGCTGGCACGAGTGGTGAGAAAGTAGGTGCATGTTATACTCGTGTTTTGGACACACCCATACCGAATTGCAAGAGCCTCAGGTGGCCAATATGATCCCCGCGGTGAAGAGCTTCAAACCGGTTACGCTTGTGCTTGTGTTTACAGCATCTATGTTTTGGAGGGCGTCCTCATCAAATGTTTGACAATGATGATGTCTCTCCCGCTTTCTCTCTTTCTTTCCCAACATTTCTTACCCCTCTGCACACCCACACACACACACACACACCACCACCCCTTCCCCCCCGGTCTCCCTCCCCATCTCCCAGATGTGAGGGAAGTGTGGGAGGAGCCAGGGGGTGTTTGTGTTCCTCAGGGTCCCGTCTTCCTGTTAAATTGAAAAAAAAACTCCACATGTGCTGAAAACACCAGCACATACATACACACAAACATACACTAACAGGCTGAACACCTCTTTTCTTGAAATGTTTGACTTTATGTCTGCAGTCAGTTTTTAAACCTTAGTCTTGTATTCACTGGGATTTTATCAGAAAGACACGGCCTGGCTTTGTCATGTGAAATATTTGGTCTTATTTGTGGCGCGTATTTCCCACAGTTGACTGTTTCATCATTGCACCTGCTTCAGTGTTTACGCCTGAACTTGGCAGGCGGATATTATCAGTTTTTTTTGAAGCACTATTCAACAAGCCCTGTAGCAACAACACAGGCAAACAATCGAGTGAACATTGTCAGCAGGCAGCTTCACTCATTGTGGTCACTGTAGTCCACTGATGGATATTTGATTTCCTGCTCAATGAGGAATGCTAGGAATGAGGAAGAGAGCAGCACAGGACGTTGTCTCTTTTGGCCCATTGCTCAGCTGACCTTGTTAAGACTTCACTGGGATAACGAACGTACACCCACAAGCTTGCCATAAAGCACATGTATCTCATACTAACTGATATGGGGATGCATCATGTTCTTGTTAGTTATTTGGAAATGTAAGTGATGTTCTTCGTATGTGGAGACACGTACAAAAGTCTGCTTTCGAACCGTGTGTGTAATCGATTTCTAAACAAGCCTATTAACAAGCATCCCTTGTCTTTTTGTTTCTTTTTCTCAGATGACAGAGGGGAGGCGATGTCAGGTCCATCTCCTGGACGACAGGAAGCTGGAGCTCCTTGTACAGGTGAGTCTCTCTTCCCCCTGATCTCTCGCTCCCTCTTCTCTTCCTTCCCTCCCTCTTTGCAGACTCTCATTTCCTTAGAGCAAGGGAGAAGTGATGTCGGGTGTACCGAGGGACTCAGTTCCTGCTGACCAAGGGAAATTTGGTCAGCAGTAGGTGACTTTGCGCTTTCTTGATGCTCACCTGATCTCTCCACACACACACACACACACACACACACTCAAAAACACACACACGAGCATGCACGCAGTGGACTCTCCCTGTGGAAGTTATGCATCCCAATACAGAGTTCAGTCCTAATGAAACAGAAACCCTTACTTCCCTTAAACTCATGCTTCACTGCTCATTCTATATCACCCATCTCTACTGCCCTCCCAGAATGCCCCAGCAATGCCAGAATCATCTAACAAGAAAACATCTATCTGTGTAACTGACAATGTTCCTTATTATTCTCTAAACATATCCGTGTAATTGACAGTGCTCCAACTTATCCTCTCAACGTCTTCCCAGAAAGCAGCATGGTGCCCCCCTCCCCCTACTTTCAGCCTTCAGCCCTCCCAGCAGGCCTTTCTGCAGTAATGGCCAAAGGCGGCAGCAGCAGCACCCACAACACACCCGTCTCTCCCTCCGTTGCCATTTAAAGCCCTACACTTTTAAGACAGCTATTATAGTGTAGATCTGCTCTGGTCTGGTCTGTTTTTTTGTTCTATACCCAGGGTTAAACCTATGGAGGTTTTGTCATATCACACAGGTTGACACACATTTTTAGGTTGTTAATAAATTGTGTGACCCTCTCTGCACAGTAACTTCTCTCTTTCACTTCCTCTTTTTCTTCATTGATCTTCATTGATTGTTGATGACATTCACTTTTGTCTATAATACCCCTCTCATGGTTTGGCTTCAAAGTTGGGAGCATTTTCATTACTCCACTTCCACTCTTCCTTACCTCCCATAGCTCCCTTTGGGCCTGACCATTACCTGATTCCACTGGAAAAAGAGAAATACACAAAAGAAAGGAATTGCCCTAGAACAGAAAAAGAAGAGCAAGCAGAGACTAGAAAGATTGACGCAGGAACTCGGAAGGCTGAGAGCGTGAGAGAAAAGTGAGATGGGAGCTCAGGAATGGAGAGACGGGGATGACAGTAAAGAGATGGGAATAGAGAGGAGAAAATGGAGGGTAGAGCCAGGGATAGGTCTGCTGACTTTCTGATTTGATTACTCTGCCAGAACTGATCCTCTCTTTCAAATTGGTACTTCTTTCTGCTTCTCTTCCACTCCCTCTTCATCCCCCTGACTTTCCACTCTTCACTCTTCATATCTTCTTTTCTCACTCAGCTCCTTATCCCGGTTCTTTCTCCGGCAAAATCTCCGAATACAACTGCAGCGGCTCCGTATCTCATCCATCCATCCTCTCTTCTGCTCATTCTTCATCCTCTTGGCCATCAAAGAAAGGAAACAAACCAAAAGAGAGTTTAAGAGTTGAATTAAAACATCACAGTAGTCTATGTTATGTAAATAGTTTTACAGGTACTTGGAGATAAGTTGTTAGTAAGAAAATGTGTTCTGTTTACCATATAATATACACAATGTGGCAACTGGTATTTTTTTGTCAAAGGTATTAGCAAGACAGAAGGCATGGCAAAAAGTCCAGAAGAGTGGATGTTATTAACAAACTAGTCATATAAATCAGGATACTGTTGTCTTTATTTCTTTATCTCCTGCTCTCTGTCCTTGCTTCTATCTCTATTGGGCAGATGTACAGCAGGCTAGTACGTTGCTAATAGGACCACACAGAGAATTTCAATGTTATTATCAGTTTTCCGGTGTACTAAGACACAGTCAGATCCTCCTTTCCAAAACAAATTATTTCTTGAAGGGATGATCATAACTCTTGTTTTTCAAATATTAATGTAGTACTCCAGTATTACACACTCCATTGGGCTATTTCATGTCTTCACTGAACATTTAACAGCAGTATGGTCAGGGCTGTCCTCCTGAGGTTTTCATTTAGTACCAGCCAGCCAGCCTCTGGAAGGTTGGATCTCGTTTCTGTCACTGACTTGTAACATTGACCAGCTGTTTAATCCCAGAAGTGTCGTTTCGACTTTTTCCTTTTCCTTATCCCCTTCCTCCTACCTTTGATAGCGTGCTCTTCATGGTTTGTTTATGGAGCAACGCCTCATTCGCAGGGAACTATTTGCCAGAAGGCCAACGCACCTATTGACCAGGCCATAAAGATTGAAGATAACCACCAAATACACCACCAGGTGAAAATAAATGTAAATCATCTGGCTGTCACTCCCTAAGGATAGTGTGGTGTAAGTTAAAGAGTGAAACGGCGTATTAAAGGACCAGTTTGTAGGATTTAGTTGCATCTAGCTGTGAAGTTGCAGATTGCAACTAACTGAACACAGCTTGCGTTTGTATTTGACAACATGGGAATGAGTGTGTAATGAAAAAACATGAAAGGCGCTATCTACAGCCAGTGTTTGGTTTTGTCCGTTCTGGGCTACTGTAGAAACATGGCAGTTTAACATGGCGAACCACTGCGTCTGTAGATAAACAAGGCTTATTCTAAGGTAACGAAAAACACAAGGACTTCTATATTCAGGTGATTATACACTTATGGAAACATACCTATGAATATTATATTACATTATTAATATATAAAGATCCTCCTAAATGATACACACTGGACCTTTAAGTTGTGTAACAATGTTGCTCTTCCATGCTGATGTGTATGTGAAGAACTACATTGATAAATAGACACTTCAGGATTATTGTAAGATGGTAAGATGCCACAGTCTGTATACAGATTATGTGTTAAAATATTAAGGGCATGTGGCTAAAAACCTTTTTCCTACCCACCCTTGGACTGACACTTATAAATCAGTATGGCGCCAAGGGCCTGACTAGCTGTTTGCAGAGATTGGACCGTGAATTGCTGCCAGCGAGCCAGCCAGCCAAGTGAGCTACTGTTGTGTTTGTCACTTTGTCTGGAAGTTTTTGCGTTAGCGTGTCTCCTCCTCACTTCCACCACCCTGTAATTCTTATGCTGTTAATTACCTGTGCTGCTGAGGAGGCACAAGCTAAATGTCTATTAGCAGTAATGCTGTCTAAGCTAGCAGAGAGCTTTACCCTTTGATAGATGGCTCCATGCTGTGTTTGTAAATGTGTGTGTATGTGTCGGCTTTGTCTGTATATCTGGAGTACGTGTGCGTGTTTTACCTGTCATTCACCAACTGTATCACTATTATTACTATATCTCACCCACCGTTAATATTTACATATCCGTTAGGTCTCTGCCATCTCACAGATAAGCTTTAGTGCCAGGATGTGTGTGTGTGTGTGTGTGTGTGTGTGTGTGTGTGTGTGTGTGCTGTGGAAGGGGTGAGTCGTCACTTGCAGAGACAACCAAACTCAATTATGATATCCAGTTCAGCCCATGTGATTTTTACAGTCTGCTTGGTATTCATAACAGTGTTGAGGCAAGACGCTCAGCCTAACCTTACAGGGTCCTTCTGTTCTGTTTGATCTTCAGTCATGCATTTCAGATGTTCAGCTGTGTATCTGGAGTTCATTTTGTCAGCAGTTTACCATTATACGTGTTCACATGTCCCCACCCCCACTCATTGTTTGTTATGCTGTGGTGGCGTGGATGTAGTTTAATTGATATTGTCGCCAAGGCAGTTTACTCTTGTGACGTAATGAGAGACCACCAGTATGTGTCTCAGACTGAACCAAAACATGTATTACTTCTAATACTGTAAAGATAGCCTGCTTCCAGACCTAAAATTTACACGTCTAAAATCTCTTGAGCCCCTCAAAGGGATATATTGTTGCTCTTGGGAATGTCATTAAACTACATGTAACCATAGTATAATTCATCATCTTATTCTTTTAAGAGATGTGAATTTATCATTCTCATTATATATGCATTTGAAGTTTTCCTTTAATGATAACCTCAAGATTTCTTAACATAACAATATGGGAATCCTAGACAATTGACCAATACTGTATGGCTTATTAGTAGGGTTACGTACAGTAGCCGTGTTGTTATTGTTGTTTTCTGTTTAACACTATTATCGTGCAGTACATACATCTGATACATGGGAATATATGGCAGAATCTATGTATACTCCTCAAGCTCTCTCTATCGTTTCTATTCTCTCCTGAGCCTTTCTGTGTTGCAGGATCACTGTAGGCGTCGCTCTTATATGAGATCTAGGTCATTGGAGTTGTATGTGCGTGTATGTGTGTGTGTGTGTGTGTGTGTGTGTGTGTGTGTGTGTGTGTGTGTGCACTTGCTGTCTGCATAACATCACCTCCTTCTCTTTAAATAGCTCTCAGTAGCTTCTGTCACTGTAGTTGTGCAGTGGGTAGATAGTACAGGACCTCAGGGGGACATTCTTAGCAATGTGCACACTATGGCACATGTAGTTGTGTGTGTGTTTCTGTGTGTGTGTAATGAAAATGTAGGCAGCAAGGCACACCCATGGTTAACCTCAGGGTGGGGCGTGCTGCTACTCAGGATGTCACAAACCAGCTGCATATGGCAGCAGTCCCTGGCCTGTGCTTGGCTTTAAGATGCTCTGCAAAGATCTGAGCATTGTGATGAATGGAAGTTGTCATCACATATAGCTTGGATATAGCAGTATTCCACAGTATTAACTAGCTAGCAAGCTCTTGTGCTAGCTGCGGCCTTTTCCCTGCAATACTGTGGTTAAGCTCAGAGCCATGACTCTGCAGTAGAGGTGTGGGTCAGAGAGGCGGAAAGGAGAGAGGGAGGGAGGGGGAGGGCAGGATACCTGCACTGTCAGCAACATCCCCACACTCCATCCATCTTTCTCGCGCTCTCTCTCTCTCATTTATCTCCTCCTCTCTTACTCTTTTCCTCTTTTCCCCAGTGTTTATCAGAATGCTTAGTCATTGCAGTAAATCAATAGCTGATAGAATACATTAACATGAAGCTCAACCATATGTACTTCCAATTATACTACATACAGTGCGATAAAAACTGCACTCACATGCAAGTCAACTTATAACTGATTAATAAAACCACACGGGAAGCAATACTAATACCTCTGTTTACCTGCAGCCCAAGCTGATGGCCAAGGACTTGCTGGACCTCGTGGCCTCTCACTTCAACCTCAAGGAGAAGGAGTACTTTGGAATCGCATACACAGATGAAACGTAAGTCACATTCAAATATTGATACCATAGCAAGTTACTGTAGTACCATGTACAAAAGCACCACTATGAAAACTCTTGCTGTTAATACATTGTTTGAGTTTGAACTATGGTTTCAGAAAATGTGTAAGGAAAATGTGGCTGTTTTTCTCTTGATGCATTGTACCTTTACATACTAAACTGTTTTGTTTTTTTGTATTGTCTAGGTTTATATGTAAAATATTTCACATTTAACGTAAAAAAAACAATCTAAGTCTATGTCTACCTGAAGGCTTGCAACAAGAATTGTCCTTGAAATGCAAAAATGACATTCAAATTAGTTTTATTGTGTTTGGTGACCTAGAAAGACAAGCACCACAGCATTGTCCAGAACTAGTCATGCAAACAAATACAAATACAAATACAAATGATTTACATACAGGCAAACATTGCCATGGCCTTTGTTTTCTCTCTTTTTTTATTTATCTCAGGCCCTCTCTGATGTGGAGCAAGGCTGGCCTCTGCTCAATGGCATTTACGGCACTGTGACACATACTGTAGCCAATGTCAGTCTAGCAAAGCAATATCATAGTTGCAGTTTCAGTCCCCCAGAGCTTTTCTATGATGTGTAGATTTGTTGCTTGTGTCTGGGGAAAGCAGACGCCTCAGCTGTGACCTATCAGTGGTCAAAGCGGAGAGACAGAGACAGAAGGAGGGAGCGTTTGAGAGAGATGTTGCTCAGTTGCTCAGGAGACCATGCAGGGTTACCAGGGTGACAAGCTGTCTCTGCAGTTTTTCTCTCTGTTGGAGAGGGAGAGAGAAAAGAGAGGAGAGGGGGAGAGAAGTGGGGCGAAACAAATGTTCAGTGTCATGAGATGAAGTTTTTGTGTATCATTGCTGGATATGCAAAACAGGATTAATATGAATTATAGCATTGATTGATTGTTTTGTCTCATCAGGGGCCATTTTAGTTGGCTGCAGTTGGACCGCAGGGTATTAGAACACGAGTTCCCCAAGAAGTCTGGTCCCATTGTCCTCTATTTCTGTGTCAGGTGAGTCCTTCTTTAACTTAATTGCCTAACTTACACATACATTGGAGATGGTGTTTGAATGTTAAGTGTGGGAGAGAGAAAGAAAGATGCAGAGAGTGTGACTGCATATGTCTTCATGTGGTAATAGGAACAGATTAACAAGGTTAGTTATGACAGGCCCCTCTGAAATGGCATTGACCCAGGTGTTTAACTCCCACCACGGGGCCTCTCAGCCAATCATGAGCCTCTTAGACCTCATCAGTATGCGCTGAATGCAAATCCCATCAAATAGCTTTGCGGTGACTACAGATTGCTGTAGTCCAAACAAGACGTCAGAATGCTTTCCCATAGGGACAGCAGTCTTACCATTTCTGCTCTACATTAGTACTACACATTTTCATGCAGATGCAGTTTGACAAAAAATGTTGCCAACTCTGTTCACTTGTCAGTGTAATGCTAAAAGTGTGTGTGAGGCAACCTATGATGAGGCATGTGCCCTTGCTGTTGCTGTATTTCAGTATTTCTCAGTTAAAAGCCAACTCTTCTATGACTTGTTATGACAGGGTTATCCCATATTCCTCTCTCAGCCCTTTGTCCTACTCATACAATGGCCCCACACATACATAAAAAACTCCTGACTCACACACAGGCACTGGATCGCGTGTGTATATGTGACACAAATACAAATTGTGCCTGTTTATGTGTGTGTCTGTGGGTGTTCTTCAATAGGCTATTGAAAAAGAAAGAAAAAGGCACCTGACCTGAGGAGAGATTTTCTGATCTTTCTTAGCCTCCAATGAAAATGCAGCCCTCCCAGCCCACTCTGCCCCAAAACATTCACACACACACACACACACACACACACACACACACACACACACACACACACATACACACACATGCGCTCTTAGTGAGAGTGTGAAAGGGAAAGCCTTTGTTTTGGGTCCCCAGCACATCTCTGATGGGATATACACCCCAGGGACATAGCCTTGGTTAGCAACGTACATAGTAACGTGACGCACATTAACTTTACTGAACAATGTCAATGAGTAGTCATTTCCAGGTTGACATTTACAACACTGTTCAAGTCATGACATAATGAGGTGACTGTATGGTAAAATCATACTCTAGACCTCCTAGACCCATTGTTCATTCTATTAAGTGAACAATGGTGTCATTGTACAATGTGACAGTGATACTATCAAAAGATGTACAGATAAGTACATTTGGTTGCTATTACTGCTGTTTTAGCAGTAATTTCAGTCAAAGATGAAATGTAACATTTCCACATTAGAAGGTCTATAACTGCTAGACCTACGTTATATATTTTGTTGTGTACTACATTATCCCAAATGTTTCTAACAATGTTCAAACACAAACACAGATAAATCCAGTAACGGTGCCTTACCTAATTGCTTCTAGTTTCTATAATTTCTGTGTAAACACGGGATACATCGGATATGTCTGAGACTGGAAAAGGAAGTTGGTGAACATGACTAAACGTCACGGGAACAAAACATTACCATGTCCGTGATCAATTTCTGCCTGAGTCATGTCAGATAGATTTTCATGTTTCGTTCAGGCTGTCATATTTTTTTAACAATGAAGACAACAACTCCCATCATCCCACACTACTTCACAACATAATCAAGCCACATCTTTTGTTTTTGTTTTGATGTGACAGACCCCCTATCGGCAGAAATGACATATGACATACATTGAGGTTGCAGTGATGTTTAGGCTTACCATCTGTCTTTATCTTAGGTCAGCTATAGAGCCATATAAAACAACTGTGTATGTGTGTGTCGTAGTGGTGCTTAGGGTGAGGGTCACTGTGTGTGTTTTTACATAGACTAATGTAGGTGTTTGAGGATATGGTGGTGGTGCTGTGACACTGTGAACTTTGACACCATTTTAACCCCCCCCCGGCGCGCTTCTCTCCTGCAGTTGAGTCAAATCTCTAACCTCAATCTCTCCAAATGTCACACTACTACACCTTCATCTCAAACTCACACACCTCCAACCCTATTTCTTAGACACACGCACACACACACATACGCAGATTCAGGACTATAATAGAACAGCTATCAACCCAAATGTCAGACCTGAATCCATTAGCCATCTGAGCATATTGTTTTCATTAGCACAATATAAGGTTTTTTTTATGTATGGGTGCTTGTGCGTCTGTGCAGTTGCACGCACGTGATTCGTGTGTTCCCAATAAATGCTAGCAAGATGCCCACCTCCTGCTGATTCAGTGGGTGCCTTTTTGCATGCTTGCCGCTGTGCTGGCAGTGTGTGTATGTCTCATCAACGCGGTGGCTTTAATTAAATGTTCACACTGAATATTGACAAAGCTCCTCTCATTCTCTCTTGCAGCTCAATGGGTAACGTGATTTAAGCCCTCCAATATTGATCCTCCTACAATCCCTCTCACTCAATACCTATACGCTCGTAAGCACACGAACCGACACATTCATTCGCGTGTGTTCATAAGGAAATGTGCTTAGGTCACATTATATACACACTACAGGGATATATGAAGTCATACACTGAAGGTGTTTGATATGTTGTATTTTACCAGAGAATAGCTAACAATGAGTAGCTTCCTAGCATGCCACTGTAGCTCCCCTCTGGCTGTGCATGCATTCATGAGTTAAATTTAGACTGCATTATTATGTTAGTTCCCTCCTCACCACTCTGCCAGAAGTGGGTTACTGTGCTTCTCGCTCCAGTATGTGACAGAGTGTGTGTGCATAACTACTGTGCATGTGGAATCACTACACACTGCTGATGATGCAGATAGGCAGACAATGTGTGTAGTGCATCATGTGCACATTCAATCCTTGTGTGTGTGCGTGTTCGGATTGTGGAATGTGCTCACACTCACAAACTAATAATGGATCATTGCCAACCACCATGGTGAGAGAGAGAATTGGTTTAAGGGGAAGTGAAAGGAAGTTGGTACACAAGGTCAGCCTTTGGTATGGTGTGCCCCCCTCTGGCCCCTTTGGTCATTGCATCATTTGTGTCACATCTGCTTTTGACACTACCTTAACGTTTTTAACTCGTTCTCTGATATTATTTTTGTGTAATAAATAAACCTCACTGAATAGGGTTAAGATCAACTTATGTCCTTGTTGCCTGTGCTGTTGCAAATGTATTGAAGCTTTTCCTTCTATGTTTTCAGGTTCTACATAGAGAGTATATCCTACCTGAAAGACAATGCCACTATTGAGCTGTTTTTCCTTAATGCCAAGTCCATCATCTACAAGGTAAACTCCTTATTTTGTTGCTAATACTGTTTGTTTATGACAATGGACGGATATATTTATCCTGAAATGCTTTACAGATGTGGGTGGTAGGAATACCTTTGTATATGCAACCAAGCTTTTCTTCTGGACTTAATATATTTTTGCTAGAGGAGGGTCAAAGTGTTAAGTGGGTATATTTCAAGTTGAAATTATGCGAAGTGTGTTGTAATGTTGTGAGAAACATGCCAGTTCATTAGCCCATTTTTGGTTCTAAATGAAGAGATGTTACAAGAGGCCAGCTTGGACTTCGGTGCTACACACTGATTTGGTGAAGCGTAAAATGTGAGCCATTTGCATCAGCTGTTACCCATCATGTTACGTGCTGCAGCAACTAGCGAATAATTTGACACATTTACTGCCACCTGTCAGCGTTGAAGCACATTTATTTAATCTGTTTAAATAGAAATTGAAATTATGCCGTTAAATAAACCATAACAGCAACTTGCCCAAAGAGAAAATTCCAAAGGCAAAAAAAGACAAATTTTGTACATTTGGTGATAGGCTTAAAACATCCCCATCAGAGAAAGCCATTTGTATGTTTTACTTGGAGTGAGGGGACACTGTCTTAACTAGTTAAAGATCCAGTGTGTAGTATTGAGTGGTCTAGTGGTGTAGTTGCACATAGCAACTCCCTAACTTCACCTTCCCCTTCCAAAGATTATGATAAACGATTGACAACGAGTCCTGTATTCAGGTGATTATACACTCTTGAAAACATAGTTATGCATATGATATTCCATTTTTGCCCATAGATCCTCCTCAGTGTTATTCACTGGACCTTTAACTGGTTCACGTTCTGCCAGTAGTGAGCTGGTGACCCTATGGTTACCTACTCACTACTGGGAGAGACATCAGTGTCAAGCAGTTATTTGGATTAAGTCCAGAAGAGGGCGTATGTGTTCTAAAGGAAAATAGTGGGGCAAAAAGGGCCCTGTTAAAGCCCTGTAGAAAACTGTGATAATGTAATGAGATCCATTATTTTGTCTACTGACAGCCTTGATGAACTTCGTCAGACAAGTTTTGAATAGGTCAAAAGTTTGTTGAATGCAAGTTCAGTATAGTGCCTCATACAGAGGTTTCTTGTTTACAAGGGAAATTAATGGGTGCTTTCTTAGCTATGTTGTCAAATAGTAAAGCAAACCCAAGTTTACTACTTTGGAGGCTTTAGGTTGTGTAGTTTAAGCCTAACAGGGACAGAGAAACTTAGATGTATTATTATTTATTCACAAAGTCAGTCCCACCAGTGGCTTCTTTGAAAATGTCCTTGAAGGAGATACCTAATCCCTATCTGCTGATTACAACGTCAGCTAAACATCCGTATTAAGGACAAACGATCTCCCCACCAGCTCCAGCGGTAGATGACCCTGACAACCCTATGAAGAGAGAGAAGCAAAATGAAGAGAAAGAAAAGAAATGAAATATCTCCTAGTATTTTTAGAAAACATATTGCAAACACATAGTAGACAGAATGTGGTAGATCAGGATATATGTTCACCTTTCAATGTTTGTGTAAGTAGTGGGAAAAATGTTCTGTTGTGCCGTGGGAACACATACGGTACAATAACACACAGTATATTACAATTTGTAGCCACACTGGGTGGTACACCCAGGGTGGCTTTCTTCTGTCTAGTGTTTCATCCTGGCTGTCTGATCTCCCAACCAATTAAGAGGTGGATTGTAAAGGGAACATTCCTGACATACTTGACCCACTACTCACTGCCCACTAACCCCTATCCTTCTCCCCCTCAAAGCCAGGGTTGGTAACATTGGAGAAACCGACAAGAGATGGCTAGATTTTAAAAGTGTCCAACTGACACTTTCCCAACCCCTCCATTCAGGTCTCCCTCCAAAGCCACTCCCCCAACACACATTGTGTGTGCCTGATTTCATTTAGTCAAAATTCAATGATCTTTAATGTCTGTGCCTACTACAGGCCTGTGACTGCTACGGATACAGGATTATAAATACATTATCTACCCTGGCTTCAATGTGGACATAGCATCCCATGTATATGTACACACACGGTTGGTGAATACATGCACAAAATACAAACCTATACTAATTATCTTGCAGCTAAAGGAACTATTTCAATGCAGCCCAAAATCTCTTTCACACAGAGATGTGAAATAACCCATGCTTGAGCCGCTCTGCCTCCTTCCTTCTCCATCTTCCCTCTTTCCTGTTTTTCACTACTTACCCTTTCCCCTGGAATGTCCACATGTCCTTAAATAACTAAAAAGGGGAAACAAAGTAATAGAATGGAAAAACACCTTTGGAATATGTACTGTTTAATCAGTAACCAGGGAATCCATGCCTCCCCTCAACCCCTAAACCCCCTCTCCCAACCCCCTTCACTATGCCTCTTCTAATCTCTGAGCTGCATCCACATGAAGAGGTCATGAAATTAGAGAAGGGAGAGAGGAAAAATGGAGAGGGAGTGGTAGGGAGATGAAAGGAACTATCAACCCATCTTGGATAAACGGATGATGATCGGAGGCACGTCCACTCTGACTCCCAACATCAGCACATTGTATGTTTTATTTATTTACTAGCTGCCAGCAGTAGGAGAATGTGACTTTCATGGTTCCTGTCTTCTCTTTTTTTTCTCTTCTTGCAGGAGCTTATTGAAGTGGACAGTGATGTTGTCTTCGAATTGGCTTCCTATATTCTACAAGTAAGATGAATTGTTTGTTTGTGCGTGTGTATGTGTGGGCGTGGATGTTCTGCCTGGATATTCCAGGGGCTGTTGCTCTGCAATGAAACAGTTTGGAAACAGTTTGAAGTTGTCTTCCACTGTGTCCCCACCAGCCTTTGATCCTAATTGGCGATGATTAAACTCACATTATCTACTGCAGTCATAATTGTGCATGATTAAGCTCACATTATCTAATTCAGTCATCAATCTGTCAGTAATCTGCAGTGACGCTGAGAGGTTTTAAATCCTAAAAACCTCAACTGTCTTTTTGGTAGCAAAATTCTTGGCTACCAGCTAAATTCTTGGTGCAGTCAGTCAGTGTTAATATAACACAGAGCAGCAGGGAAACTTCTTTACCTCACAAATTCTCCCCAACTCCAGCCCATTCTCTCTCCATCCCATTCTCAGAGTAGGTCAGTCCATTAACGGTGATGCTTCAAGGTCATGTTACACATTGACTGGGCCGAGGGGTATGTGCATGTGTGTGCCTGTGTGTGTGTGTGTGTGTGTGTGTGTGTGTGTGTGTGTGTGTGTGAGTGTGCCCTCTATGCAGGTGCAGATGTACAGTATCAGGTATCTGCTCTGTAGAGGTTTCACTCCAGATGGAGGTTTAATGTTTCTATCTGATTCCAGCACAGCAGGCCTGACTGCACATTCACCTATGCAAGCAGAACATAAACACACATTTTATGGTCACTGCTCAATGCTCACATATTACTTTTTTATTTCCCTTTCTGTTCCACAGGAGGCGAAAGGTGATTTCACCAGGTAAGCACACCAGTAACGTTTAATAATTCTATGCAATGTACATTTAAGAAAGTATAGGTTGTAGCTAGTAGTGCTAGAGGACAGATCATGGAGTTGATTATAAAAAAACAAACATATTTGACCTCTTACCTTTGGTATACTAAAGGGAATATGTAGAGAAAAACACCAGTTGACTTTCTGAGGAGCCCCAACATACTGCCACACAGCTGACATCAATACATTAAGACGTCATTCAGAAGATGTTAGCAACCGAAGAAGAAAAAGTGAACTCATATTCCTAGTTTCTTCCCTAGTGACAGTAGGGTTGGGTTAATACATTTAGATTCAGAAGGGATAGTAGAAGTGATACTAGTGGTCTGTCTGCTCCTCTGCTCCCCTGAGCATTGAGGTGCATCATTGAGAACTGCCTTTGTTTTACATGCCTGCCTTCTTCTTTCTTGCTATCTCTGTTCCACCTTGTTTCACTCTTTTTAGCCTGTGCTGCCACTCACAAGAAAAGCATGGATTACATCTTTATTATTGTCCATGATTACAGTGACTCCGTTCCAATTTAAGACAGGGCTCTCCATTGGGACTTGAAAAATGTCCTAAATGTCACAAAAAAAAGAAACAGCTATTGACAATAAAACACGTATCAGTCTTGAAACTCACAATAGTTAAACCCCATAGCTACGGAACTTTCCAGTCATGCAAGAGTTTCACGTGAGTTACGTTCCACATGTGGCTCTTCAAATGCTCATCTATTGGCCTAAATGTATGACATCCTCTCATCCCCTCATCCCTTTGTTGTAGCACAGATAACAGACTACAGCAGCCATCACCTCTGACCTCATTTCCACCAGTGAAAGGAGTAAATAAACACAATATCCTGCAGAGGGCTGGAATGTGACACACTCTGGAGACATTCCTTTCACCCACCTCCCCCCTTCCACCCACACACACATACCTCACATCCCTAAAAGCGTTATTGACCTTCCCATCTGCACATATATCATGTCATTTTGTCAAGTGTGTAATATTTCCATTGTGGAATACAAATATATTTCTTCCAAGAATTTCCTTGAATCGAGAGTCATTTTCTTGACGCTAGTGCAATAAGCCTTATGAGTCTTATTCTGATTGCCTTCTTTTTATGATTTTAGAGGTTTTAAGAATATAAATGATTAAGTAGGTCGTGAAATGAACACATCGCAAAGCCACAGTGCACGGAGAACTCTTGCCTGCCCTTTGCGATGCCAAAGTTGTGCATACAGTCTCATATACATTAGTAGCTAATTGAGTAGTTACTTGAATGGATATCGACCAGTCCAGACACACAGATGCGTTCACACATTAAAGAACAGCCGGACAGGATGGATGGGATCTCATCCAGGGCTTTAGCTCATAGGTTGTCATGTTCCCAGGGCTTTCCCCAATCCTCTGGAGCCTTGGCAGAGGCTGGAGAGAGGCTAAGGGATTAAAGTGGGATATTACGACCTCCTGCCACTGGAGGTCTGAAAACTGAAACTGGGGCCAAGTCTCTCTGGCTCTCTGCGTGGTTCTCTTCTCATTTACTCTGTCTTTGTCTTTATATTTCCTCCACCACCCCTGTTTTTATGTCCTTTTATCTTTCTTAATTTATCTTATCGTGTTTGTGTCTGTGTTTCTGTCCCTCTTTTCTCTTCTGTTTCCAACTCTACTGCAGTCCCTGCAGCTGTTCTGAGACAGCACCCTGCCTCTGAAATAGGGACCTTTTAGGGCATCAGCATTCATTCCTCTCTCTCGACTAAACATTCGCTCCTTTCCCACAATTTTTCCAAAGTTAACATTTAATTTCTAAGACAGTTCTAGGAAATATTCATATTTTAAGCGTTTTTTCTACCAGTTTTTGAACGTATAAGCCAACAGCAGAGAATAATTGTTCTCGCAGAAAGCAGTGGTGACCATGTCTTGTGGTTTCTCCCTCCCAGTAATGATGCAACCAGGTCTGACCTGAAAAAGCTGCCTGCTCTGCCCACCCAGGCCCTAAAGGAGCACCCATCTCTGGCCTACTGGTGAGAATAGCGGCTGCAACGTTGCCCAAGCTCTCCTCTTCTTGTTTTTCTCCTTCTCAATAATTGTTCCTTTCTTTATTTGCTCTGTTACAGTGAAGAGCGGGTCATAGAGCATTACAAGAAGCTCAATGGGCAGTCCAGAGGGCAAGCTATTGTAAAGTAAGTGTTTGTATGTATCTCTGGTCATGTTTGTCCACTGTAAGGAAGGCTGTGTTCTCTGTAACCCTTGCATGTCTTTCTTTCTGCTCCTCACAGTTATATGAGCATTGTAGAGTCTCTGCCCACATATGGAGTACATTACTATGCTGTAAAGGTACAGTTTTACTACTCTGCCTTTTTGTTTTTTCACACACACACACACACACACACACACACACACACACACACACACACACACATACACAACACACACACACACGCACCACACACATTTTTGTTCACTCTGGACCTGCAAGCAGGCAGTTTGGGATTTGAAGATATGAAAGAGCTTAAAGCTATTTGTACTTTCCACTGTCTTTCTGTCTCTATCAATCTCACACACATGCACAACCTTTCCTGAGGCATATTTTGTCTGTGTTTTAGGACAAGCAGGGGATCCCATGGTGGTTGGGTCTGAGCTATAAAGGCATCTTTCAGTATGACCACCAGGACAAAGTCAAACCCAGGAAGGTGAGATGGTACTCCCTCTGATCTGTTTCCACCACAAACTAAACTATCCCTCTTTCAATGAGCTTTAAATTTAAATTTAATTTTCAAAACTGCAAATGGTTGTAATCTATCAGAAAGCCTTGTTAACAAATCGTTCTGCTTATGTGTAAAATGTATAACCTCCAAGATATCTTCTAATATTTGCCGCATCATTCATGCATTGTTTGTTTTAAAAAAGAGTGGTTAGTTAATAGAAATTACACATCACTTAAGAAGGGAAACGTCTTTTCTCTATCTTTCTGGGCTTGTTTCCATGGTCACCGTCCTTTTTTTTCCATTCATTGAGTCAGGATATTGTGTTTGGAAAAAGCACTAACAATGCTGTATAAATACTACTGTCTGGAGACATTCAGTCTTGGAATGTTTTGCATCCTGTCCTGCTTTTATTTCTGCCTTTCTGTGAATGGCGTCCTCCTCCCTGTCGCTGAACCCAGTGGGTCGTCTGTGAAAACCGTTCTCACCTCACCTCTGACCTCCAGTCATGTTTAGGGCCTTGATCTCTGGCATTCACCCTTGTCTCATTGGGTGTTAAGGGTGTTAACAGCATCCCAGCGTACTGACTGACCCCCCAAAACACTCACACACACGTACACTGATAACTCTGTTGCTTGTAAATGCACAAACGCTAATAAATGTACACGCCCACACACAGGAATTAGACTGAACTCTGAACTCACCTTCCTGATGAGTACTTCCTGTATGCCACAGCTTTCCTGTTTGCCACTAGCATTGTGCTCATTGTGTGTGTGTGTGTGTGTGTGTGTGTGTGTGTGTGTGTGTGTGTGTGTGTGTGTGTGTGTCTTGATTTGTGCATTCCAGTGTAAATGACTGTCCCACCGCTGAGCCCATTCCCTGCCTCATTCCCTTTTGTAACTGCTTAGGTGTTAAACCACCATAGTGATTTAAAAAGGCAATATCACATCTGACAGATACACAAACGCCAAAACATGTGGCAAGTGTGTGTTTTTTAACTACACAGTGTATATTGAGTGAAAAACGGCAAGTTTGAGTGTTCTCTGAGGTAAATGCCACAAGAAAGAAGAAGGAGAGGGTATTTTAGAGTGAGATGGAGAGAAGAAAGAGTTAATAGCCTTTCCTCAAAAGAAACTTATCAAGCATTCAGCTGCCATAGCAACAGTCGGTGTGAGTCATCGTTCCGTTAAGCTTCAGTACTGACCCCCTCGCTTTCTTCCCATGTCTCCCTCTCTCCCTCTCCTTCTTTCTCCCTGACTGTAACACACACACACACACACACACACACACACACACACACACACACACACACACACACACACACACACACACAGTTGGAAGTAGAGAAAGTAAGACTAGGCCTTTTTCACTGTGCAAGTGTGATAGTAGTCTAAGGAGCTTGACCCAAAAAAATACTTTTGGACTGCTCGTCTTGTTAATGCAACATCACAAGACCATCTAAAAGCCCACTGGACACAGTAAGGTTTCTTTTTTTAAGGCAGACAAAGGAGGGTGGGTGGTGCTCCTTTCCAAAGCTGTTCAGTGTCTCACAGGAAGAGACACTCATAGAGGTCACTAGGAGCTTTCCATATGTATACTGAGACTCATCGCTACTTCAACAAACAAGAGGAAGAGCAGTTTATTTTGTGATTAGTCAGTCATCCAGCTGGTCCAGTACCAGTAACAAGTGACTCACAGTGTGTAATCACTAGCTTATCCATGCTCAAGTTTTCATCACTGTGACTCAGTGAGGTGTAGGCAGAACACTAATTATGTGACATTTTGGGCCAATTACCATCTTTTGTCATAGTAAAAATGTTTTATGTTCACAACAGAAACCTTTTTTATTCATTAATAAGTGACTAAGTGACTTCAGGTTGTGCTGTATAATAGGTGTGTGTGTACTGGAGGCACTTGTGTTAAATTAGTTAGCCTTTTTTACGGGGGTAGATCCTGTTGTGTCTAAATGCAGACCATCTACCGCACCCTCCGCGTTTATTTGGTGATGTTAAAATACTTTTCCCCCTCTGCTTACCGCAGGTCTCATGCAGACACTCATACAGTACACACAGACGGGTACCACACACCATACTAATGCCTCATTAGAGTGTTCTAACTCATTTAGGCCGAGATTATAGGGTCTGTGTCTTGACTGACTGCCTGACTGACTGATTTCAAGCTAAATCTTCTGTCAACACTGTGAGAAGGTTCAATGAAACACAACAAACTACGGTTTAAATTAATGTCATCTCACAAGCATTTCACTGCATGTTGATGGTTTTTTCTGAAGTGGATTGGGAGCACACATCCACTGACTTAAGTCAGCTTCTGTCTGTGTTTCATTTAGAGCAAATAGGCTCATACAGCCTGTTCTGATTAGTTTTTCCATAAATGTCATCCCTCCAAAACACAACCAAAACACAAACAACAGGAAGTGCCCCCAGAGTGTATCTGCATCTCCATGACAACTGGTGGATATAGTATTGCACACCAGACCCCATGGGTGAAACAATAGTCTTTCAGAGCCCTGGGTCCAGTTCTAGAGAAGAATAATGTCTGGCCTCACTACAGTTACACTGGCCTATGCTATTTAAACTTTCTATTCTTCCCGTAATCCCCACGGAGTCCGCTACACCAAAGAAAGGCCTTTACACTCTATCAGATCTGACCTTTTCATCTGCAATGGATGTGTGCTCGGGTGTACAGACATCATTATGAGACAGACGTGGGTCTGTGCACATGAGCAGCCAGTTGTTTATGAATAATGACCAGTCACTTCCTCTGCGTGTGTGTGTGTGTTTGTGCCATTGTGTGCGAGTGTTTTACAGTCAAAAGGAAGAGGATTTATAGCATATGCACGCATACATGCACCACCCTTGCCCTAAGAACAGAAGCACCCACCGGCTGCATGCATGTTTTTTCATCAGATATTCAAAGTCACACTATTGACAGGGCTATAAGGACTACAGAGCTTTCATTAATACAATGGGCTTATGTAACTGAAACAGCATGGAATCACAACAAAAATGTCTTGATTTTAAACTTGAGGGTGACACTCATTGCACCTCGTTGTAGATCACGTGCTGTTTAAATATATATTTTAATACTATTTGCACACTTGCACATGTGCAACTTATCCTGAAACAGTCCAAAATTGCAGCAGCTTTTCCTGCTGTTGCGGAGGACAGCTTTAGTGGTCTCGTGCCTGAACACAGTTACAAACACCTATCTTATCTCCACAGCTCTGACCCATATGTGGACAACACACACACACACTCAGTAGTGTTACAGTCACCCACTCACTATCTACCCTTCCTGCTATATTTAACACCATGCTACATTAGTACTTCACACTCCATTGAAAATGTACGGTACAGCAACAGTTTTGATAAGAGCGGCTATTTTCTTTCTTCATGCACACACATACACACATATACAGTACATTAATACATACATTAGGCTGTTTACATACTTTTTTCATAATATTTCTCCCACTCCTCCCCCTCATCCCTCTGTCCATTGTTTTCCCAGGCTGTTAAAATTCCTGGGCTGTGGCCTGTTCCTCCCTTAGCTCCCTTTCTCCTCTTTTCCTCCCGTATCCTGTCATAGCTAGGTCTTCTCCTTTGTTTCTTTTCTCCCGTTTGTCAGTTCTTGCAGCTTAGTTTAACTTTATTTACTAATGGCTGGTCAGTGTACATCCAAGGTTTGTGGGTGTGCGTGTGTGTGTGTGTGTGTGTGTGTGTGTGTGTGTGTGTGTGTGTTGGCATGTCTGCTCCAGCTGATAGACACGGGCCCACTTCTGTTCTGAAATAGCCCACACTCTTTCTCTAATAAGAAACAGACTCAGACTTTGCCAATGTGTGTAGGTGCGTGCACACAGAGGTCTGACTAAACAAAGCAAGGGCACTTCAGTTGCTGGGGCCACAGAAAGCGTCTTTCCCCCTTCATCACTCCTCCCATGACCCCTTGTTACACACACACATGCACACACACACACACACACACACACACACACACACCTCCCAACCACATAGCCCAGAGCAGGAAGCACAGTCCCTGAGGGAGGGAGGAGGGGTCAGGAGTAGGGGAGGCATAAACCCCCCCCCCTTCCACAGCCCTCCTCGCAAAGCTACACCAGAGGAGGAAAGTTAATTTAACACTTTCTCTCCACCAACACACACATGCACATGCCTACAGATGGTGAACACCCACCAACGCTTTAACATTCTGTTCCCCTGCGTCTGGGAGGATTCGAGATACACACATGCTGTGGAGTACGTCTTGGGGGAAACTTTTTCGCCCAGCTGGCTTTGGCTACATTTAAAGAGGAGCTGATGGTTCATAAAGGAGACGAAAAAGAGGGGGGGGGGAAAGAAAAATTGAGCAGAGGAAAGAAAGCCTCCTCCCTCTCACTGTCTTTCTTCAGAGTGAGGTCATCCAGCGAAGGGATCCACTGCGGACAAGACCGCCTGGTCTGGACCTGATCAGAGAGCTCCAGACTAGGTTCTCTTCTCTCCCTCCACCTCCCTCTCTCTTCCTAACTCCTCCTCTTCGGCAGCTTCTTCAAATTTTTTTTCTCTCCTCTTCCTCTTTATCCATTGCATTTTCTTTACAACAACAAATTGGAACATACAGAGACGGGAGACGAGGATTTGGCTGAAGGCTGTGTGGATTTAATGTGAAGCATGTTTTTGTGTGAGTAGCCCTGAAGAGTGTGTGTTTCTCCTAAACCTCAGGTGTTCCAATGGCGTCAGTTGGAGAATCTCTACTTCAGAGAGAAGAAGTTTTCAGTAGAAGTTCATGACCCCAGGAGGTAAATTTATATCACAATTTTAAGCCAGTGTCAATTTGCTGCAGTGCTTTTGTTGAAACTGTTTGATTATTTGTTGTTGTTTTTCAAAGGTAACTTAGTGTTGAATTGCATGATTGACTTATTGGTTTGATGATGATTATCTCATACCAATTCCACTTGGAATTGTTATTGTTATTGCTATTGCATTTTGTCCAGCTACTATTTGGAAGAGGTAGACCTTTCTTCAGTTATGGACATATTCCAGTAGCTTTTACTGTAAATTACCTCTGTGCCATATGTGAATGTGTTAAGATTCATACTACATGCGGTACAGTGTAGGAAAAGGCAGGAAAGGAGAGATCGGAATCTAATTCAGTAATGGTTGCAGCATTTGTCTTGGCAATAGAGCAAGATATTGGGGATGTCCCGGTGGAGCCTGACACAGATTGATAGGCAGATTGTTAACACACTTGTGGAGCCACATGCACAAACACATGTGCTTTTTCACACACACACAAACACACACACACACACACACACACACACACACACACTGAGTAAACCCTTGATAGTTGACCACAGAAGGATAGATGGCTACGCGATAGCTGTTTTGTGGAGGAAGTGACCTCTCTTGTGTTTATTTAACATGGCTATATATTTGGAGTGTTATTCTACAGACAGAGAAAGAGGGAGTGAATGGGAGAAAAAGACGGACAGGGTGAAACAGAGAGCAGTGGTGTTTTCTTTAAAGGAAGCTGTCATTAGGGTGAGTTGGTCTGTTGCTCAGCTACAGATGTGTGTTTAAATAAGGATGAGTAAACAATAGGGAGCAACGTGTGTGGCTTTGCGAAAAAAAAAAGAAAAGTCTCTATTGGGTCGGCTTTCTTAAACCTCCAATATTTTTTGCTGGTATTTGTGTTGGTAGTAGTCAGGTGGGAACGTTTTCACTGTTGTAAATATGCAGTCATCTTTTTGTATTCAGTGTATATAAGGAGGCCTTGTGTCCGCTCCAACTGTAGGGCGTCGGTGACAAGAAGGACGTTTGGTCACAGTGGCATCGCTGTGCACACGTGGTACGCCTGTCCTGCCCTCATCAAGTCCATCTGGGCCATGGCCATCAGCCAACACCAGTTCTACCTGGACCGCAAGCAGAGCAAGGTCAGTCATGCACCACACGGCCATAGACGTGGTTAGAAATGTACAAGACATACAGCAAAGTCAGCAAACATCAGTGATGTGTGGTACAGTGTTACAGTTCAACTGCTTAATGATGTGCTTTGACAGAGCCTCTCCATTCTTGTCTGTCCAGTCTAAGATCCATGCTGCACGGAGTTTGAGTGAGATTGCTATAGACCTTACAGAAACAGGAACTTTGAAGACCTCCAAACTGGCCAACATGGGCAGCAAGGGCAAAATTATAAGTGGCAGCAGTGGCAGTCTGCTTTCCTCTGGTAAGTACATGGTCAGTGTGTGTGTGTGTGTGTGTGTGTGTGTGTGTGTGTGTGTGTGTGTGCGCGCGCATGCTTGCGAGACTATGGGGGAGAGAAACGTTGATATGTGTGTGTATTTGTCTTTGTGTTTGCGTGTGTCATGGTGAGGGGGAGTCTCGTTGACAACTGGAGAGACAGAAACAGCTGCTTCAGGAAAGAGGCCATTGATTCTGTGCTGAATGTTCTCACACACACACTAAACACACACCCCACCCAATGTCTTTCTGTATGTATACGACACCACTCCCACCCTCCATGTCACACAGACTCATCCTCCAGAGGCCCCTGCCCCCTCTAAATTTAGTGGGTGAGGGAATTAAAAGGGCAGCGGGTCAGTGTACAACTTTGCCACGGCATTTGAAACAATGCTTATCTGTGCTGTTACAAGTAAAAAGCGTGACAGGAAGATTTGTACATTACCCAAATTTAGAATTAAGAGCAAAATGCCCTTTGAAACCCAGACAGCCATGTAAAGTGAATCAGAAAGCGGGTGCAGTAATTGGGCTGAATAGAAACACATGTACTGTAGCCTGGTAAGCTACTGCTTAATTATACACTAATAAAATGGCATGCACTTGACCAAACCAGCATCATTTATGAGGCAAGCATGTGTCCACTATTTAGAGGATAGCAAACCCTACTGAATCAATTAGTGGTTTCAGGAAAGAAGAACACTATTCTCTTTCAGTAATAATGTCCTGCATGCTCTCCTCATTTTGATCTGTCCAAAGCTCATCTTACTGATCAGGTTCTGTTTCTTCCCTAACTTCTCTTTTCTTGGTATAGATGCATCTATCACCCCACTCCCTCCCTAATCCCTTACCCTTATGTCCTTAGATATCCATTCCTAGTCTCCTAATCTCCCATTTTCTCTTTGTTCTTCCCAAGTCCCCCCCCCCCCCCACACACACACCATATTATACAGGGTGTCTGTCTGTGTCTTGTCACTTGTCTCCATGTTGTGTCACTGCGTTGATTTTATGATCCTCTCCTGACTGGGGGACATAAACATGTCACAGGAGCTGCGATGTCACATCTATGCACCTCCGATCTCCGCCACAGCCAGCACGTCTCTGTGTGACTGTGGTTGTCCAAATAGCCAGGTCTAGACCATAAGAGTTTGTCTGATCAATTTGAAACCCTTCGTGGCTGCACATGAGGCGCTACAGAAATATGGCTGTACCTGCAAAACAATAGATGTAGAAACACTGACTTTAAATAAAGTGTATCTTGTAACAATAGAAAGACATTTAAAAATCCTGACACAACTGTCACATTGGTTAGTTTTATATTGTTTGTTATGTTTCACCGTGAACCACATAGGGTCATTGAGAGAGCAACACAGAGAGAGAATGTGCGTGTGGGGGGAGTGTATGTGTTGTTTTCAACAAGGCATGTTGCAAACAAGACTGGCATCTCAGGGCCTCTGAGATTGTGCGTCACAGACTTTGTCCTAAACTGCCCCTTCCTTGAAAGACTCACACAACTCGCACAAACACACCACTGAAACTCTGTTCCCTTATCAAAACGTTCCATTCACTTCCCTGTAAACATCCTGTGAAGCTAGCAGGTGCACGCACAATTTCTACCTCGTCTCCACAATCTGCCGCAAACACACACACTCCAAACACACAGGCGCACACACATACACACACACACACACACACTCACACACACACACACACACACACACACTCACACATATGCTCCTGACTCCTGTCTTCATGTTATGTCTTGTCTGTAACCTGCAGGCTCTCAGGAATCGGACAGCTCCCAGACAGCTAAGAAGGACATGCTGGCAGCACTGAGGGCCAGGCAGGATGCACTGGAGGAAACACTAAGACAGAGACTAGAGGAACTTAAGAGCATCTGTATCAGAGAGGCGGTATGAGAAAACACAGGCAGATTTGGCAAATATTTTGAGAACCATAAAACTCTTCAGCTCTTCTTTTGTAACTTAATTTATTTCCTTGTCCCCTTTTGTCCCCTTTCTTTCCTAGGAGCTGACAGGAAAGCTTCCTAAGGAATATCCTTTGGATCCAGGAGAGGAGCCGCCCACAGTGAGACGGAAGATCGGTACCGCCTTTAAACTGGATGAGCAGAAGATTCTTCCTAAGGGAGAGGTGAAGCTCTAACTCCCTGTTCTCCTCAGTAGCATTTTATCACACTCAAAAACAAATCAACTTCTAGTCAACTTCATAGCACATTTTATGCACCAGGTATTTTAGTTGATTTAAAAGACAGTCTTGGAGACATTAGATACGTGCTTCTGGCACATCATGTAAAATCTAGTGGTGTTGGTGTTTGAAACAAATACATAATATCTGTCAAATGCAGAGCTAAGAGTGTTTCTCTCCCTTTTAACCCAGGTGTAATGTTCATTATGGACACAGTATGGGCATTGTAAATCAAAACTGGTGTTTATATAATGCAGATCAAGGGTTATTAACCTCATTTAAACCAAATACTTAATACTCACATAATGGTGGGAATGACGATTGACATAATAATAATAATCAAAAGTTAACTGATCCCTATTTGAGCAAAGGAAATAGAGACCAGTGGGAAGCCACAGTCTGAGACGTCTTGGACCTTGTAAAAGTAGTTGTACTGCATCTTTGCCTCGCTGTCTTTTTGTGCCACGGGTAGATTTTCCAGAGCAGCAGAACTTCTAAAAATAGTCTGGCAGCATTCTCACCACAGGAAGTGGTGATAGTAGGATTGTGTGCACGCCTGTAAGCGTGCAGGCATGTGTGTAAGGGTGTGTGTCGCTGAGGTTGTATACTTTGAAAATAATCCAGGGACACAATATCACAAAACTGCTTTGCAAGCAGAAATATTTTTTCTTAATTTAGAAACACCTTAAACTCCTACACACAGAGAGAAACAGAAGCTGCTCTGGCTGTAGTGTGAATGGATTGTTAGAGAGAGGGATTCCTCAGAACTGAGGTAGTCCAGTAAGATGTTGACCCAAGCGAATACATCATCGTTCTGTCTCTGGAGGCAAGTGAAATCATGCATGTGTTCTCACATATGTGAGTGCACTCATTACATGCTTGAGGTACACAGTGTGTGTAGGGCAGCACAGTATGGTAAAAAAAATGGTATCGGTTTGCGATGTGATACATGATTTGGGGCAATGAGCATTTTTGCGTCACAATTTAAATTTTCACTGAACAAAATGATTAAAATCATGATGATGTTTTTTGGGCTCTGTACCAAACAAACAAAATGTTTTACTGAAGAATAAGATTTGTAGACCATGGCATCTCTGGAGCACTACATCCATCATTATAATGCTGCTTTGCCACACATTTTACCTTTATCCAAAAATTGCTGCTTCTGTGATTTTAGATATTGCACTTAATATGTAAATGAATTGTGCAGTGTGTGTCACAGGAATGCCCTGAGTTTATTTTCTTGTATACAAGTTCAGTTCACAAGTTTACACTATACTGTACTATACTATACTACAGTAAATATTGTAGTATCTAGATTATACGTTTTGCCGTGTAGTAAACTTATATGCAGTACATTTGCGGCATGACAGAGTATGTGTTACTTGGTTCATCTAATAGTCTCTGCTCCACAACTCTCAGGAGAACTGTACAGGAGGGGAGGATGGATTGATGGAGAGGTGTTATTATTGGGGGACAGAGTTTCTCAATAGTGAATATCCATTGGTGAGAAAAAGCAGGGCTGCAGCACAGATAAATGATTTCCGCAGTGTGTTTTCTCTGGCAATGCTTTGTGTGTGTCTCTAACCAAATACGTTGCATGGGAGAGTTACAGTCTGAATACGTGTCTGCAAACTGAACCTTGTTGTTTTTGGATTGTGCATAGATTTCTGTTGCTAAAACTGTGAGCCAATCCAGTATCGTTGTGCTTGTGTTACTCAGAGTTTGCACTCATGTTTGCATATGTGTGTGTTCTTATCCCAGGAAGAGGAACTGGAGCGTTTGGAACGGGAGTTTGCCATTCAGTCCCAGATTACAGAGGCAGCCAGGCGTCTTGCCAGCGATCCTCACGTGAGCAGTAAGAAGCTGAAGAAACAGAGGAAGACTTCTTATCTGAACGCACTGAAGAAGCTCCAGGAAATTGAGAACTCTATCAATGAGTACCGGGTCCGCTCTGGCAAGAAGCCTACGCAGAGGGCGTCGCTTATCATAGAGGGTACTAATATCCTCTTCTTATCTCTTTATTTCTATTTGCTGTGGTTGTCACCAGACACAGCAGTATTCCTCGCAAGTACTGTTTAGAGTCCACACATAGCAAAATTGACATGTTCCAATGTTTTTTTATACATAAAAGATTTGTAAGATTTGTTATAATTGCATGATCCTGAATCTATTGTCTCTGTTTCTCCATCCTGTAGAGGCCAATATTGGTTCTGAAGACAGTTCATTGTCCGACGCACTGGTCTTGGATGATGGTGAGTCTCTGTCCTTCACATTAGTCATGGCTCATCATGATTTTATTAAATGTCCTATCTTAATGCCTCTAACTTAATCTAATTATTACTCTATTTCAGATGATCCTCAAGTTACAGGTACCCCCACCTTCTCTCCTGTAGCATCGCCTCACAAGGGCCTCCCTCCTCGACCACCATCTCACAGTCGGCCCCCTCCACCGCAGTCCCTGGATGGCTTGCGACACCTGCACTACACACGCTCTGACTACGATAAATCACCCATCAAACCCAAGATGTGGAGTGAATCGTCACTGGATGAGCCCTACGAAAAAGTCAAGAAACGCTCCTCTCACTCCAGGTATGAGGCAGTATTCCTAACTAGCCCTTTAGAATAGAGCTACTGTATGTTGACGTGTATGTGTGAGGCTGGTCAGAATTATTTTGATTAAGTGTTAAAGGTTCAGTATGTAACATTTAGGTGGATCTAATGACTACCTACCGACGCTACCTTAGAATGAGCAGTTTTTATATACAGCAAGAGCAGGTCCTTTTCCATAGAGGCCGCCATGTTCAACCACTCTGTTTCTACAGTAGAACAGACAAACCAAACAATGGCTGTAGATAGGGCCTGTCAAGTTTTGGGTGGGTTTCAAGACCTTGATAGTTTCTCTGATGCACTAGATGCCACTAAATCCTACACACTGATCCTTTAAACAATTTTTGCAACAATTTGCATGTGCATTTAAGGTAGTGTTTAGTCATCTCAAATGTAACTAATCTAATCAAAATTGTGACCTTGGATTAATGCCTCAAGCCTCGTGGGCTGACCAAATGTTCAGTAGAGCGCATCATACATACACATAGGTTACCCATGTGAAAGGAGTATATATGTACTGAAACTGATTATACATTTTGCTTATTTTCCTTGCCTCTTTGTCAAGTCACAGGCGTTTCCCTAGCTCTGGCAGTGCAGAGGCAGGGGGTAGTAACTCTCTGCAGAGCAGCCCCATCAGGAGCCTCCCTCACTGGAATTCTCAGTCCAGCATGCCGTCGACCCCGGACCTGAGGACCAGGACCCCACATTACGTACATTCCACTAGGTCCGTCTTTACACCTTCAATTGTCAACTGGTTCTTCAAATGACAGATTATATGTTACTATAAAAATTCCATATTTAACTTTTTTTTTTTTCTTACAGGTCAGTGGACATCAGTCCCACACGTCTGCACAGTCTCGCTCAGCACTTTAGGAACCGCAGCTCAAGCCTTGAGTCCCAGGGCAAACTGTTGGCATCCGACCCCGATGCACACCCGCACACACTGGGCACACTGGGCAGCCCTGACTTCTTCCTGGGCCCAGGACGCAGCTCCAATGGCTCTGACCCACTGGACGACTGCTCATCCTGCACCAGCCAAAGCAGCTCAGAGCATTACTATCCCGCTGGTGGACCCCCTGGAAGCAACCCCAACTACTCTACTCTGGGAGAGGACTCGCCCTCCAAAGCCAGGCAGAGGCAGAGGCAAAGGCACAGGTAATGCTGGGAGAGACGCAGTATGTGCTATATGTGAAGAAGTGAACTGTCCTGTAATGAGACTGATGTATGTGTTGTCCTCTCTCTTTCCAGGTCTGCAGGTCACCTGGGTTCCTCTAACTCCGGCTCCATGCCAAACCTGGCAGCTAAGAACGGCTCAGGTGGAGGCTCTGGTGGAGGTGGGGTGGGAGGAGGACATCATGGAGTGTACCTCCACAGCCAGAGCCAGCCCTCCTCCCAGTACCGTATTAAGGAATACCCGCTATACGTAGAGGGCAGCCCCAACCCCGTGGTGGTGCGCAGCCTGGAGAGCGATCAGGAGGGCCACTACAGCGTGAAGGCCCAGTTCAAGACCTCCAGCTCCTACACGGCCGGGGGACTGTACAAGGAGGCCTGGGGTGGAGAGGAAGGAGGAGAGGGGAGCGGCCGACTCACGCCATCACGCTCTCAAATTGTACGGACTCCGTCATTGGGGAGAGAGGGTGGTGGAGGTGGAGGAGGGGGGAGGGCGGCAGTGTCTGAAGAGCTGCGGTGCTGGTACCAGAGGTCCTCAGGGAGCCTGAAAGAAAGGAGTCACTCACATTCGGGATCTACTTCCTCCGAGACAGGGTCACAGCAAGGTACCCTGGGACATGGTCGAGGGAGTAGAGTAGGAACACTCGCCAAGGGCTCACCAGGTGAGTCTTCTTTGTTTGTTCACATTAAACCCTGTCTCTACAGGCTTCTTACATTAATACATTCAAACTTAAACTTTTTGAGCGCAAATATAGAATAAAGTAATGCCCCATGTAAACTAACAACTGACAACCTTCAGTGTATATAACAAACACCCTCCCTACTGTGCCAATGAAGCATGTGGGGCATATTGATGTGTGTTTTCAGATGTTCTAACAAGAAGTGAGAACCAGTGGCATGGTCAGGCGGTATTTTACATGATCATTCATTCAAATAAAGTATACTTTTCATAATGGTTAACATGAAAGAAAATAACAAGTGCACAGCCAGCCAGCCGCTTTGGACCCTCCCTTCTTTTGTTTTCGGTCTGCCACCCCAAGATCTTCAGTTGCCCCATTTGCCCACCCCTATGAGACATTTCTAAGGGGGCCACTGCTGAGAACACTAGTTGAGTTGAATTTTTTGTGATGTGACTTTTGTGTCACATGACCCCTGAGGCAAATGTTCTTTGTGACACTGAGGCTACACACCCCTAACCCCATATGTGAAGCATAGTTGAAACTCCTTTACCCTTCACCTCACTAATAGCGTCTCTTATGTGTGTTTTCCCTGTCTCCACACGTCTCTGTATGTGTGTATCTGGTTGCTCATACTGCATGTGTTGTATCTCATTTAGCACGACTAACTGTCAGTTTTACCCATAGCTGCATCCCCTCACAGCCAGAGGAGTATGACGCCCTCCAGCGAACACGCAGCCACACCCACACCCCCCTGTAGCCCACAGCACATCCTCAACTGGCAGAGCGGGTAAGAGACACACCAACACACGTGGCAGCAGATCAGGGTGACAAGATGTTTGAAGCCAGATATGAATTTACATTAATATGGGACAAGTCTTGGCTACTCAGCTTCTTTCTCTCAATCTTTATCCAAAGCTCACTCTTAACACAGGCTTTGACTGTCTGTTGTATCGGTTTCAGCTGATATTGTTTTTCACTGTTGAACTAATCCTAAAGAATGATTTTTATGTGGTTTTGGGTTCTATTTTTTAACCTTTTTTCATACTCATAATCAAATGATGTCACTCTTCTTGACTTCATCCTGTTCTGCTGTTTGTGTTTCCCTCACTGCATCGTTGTTCCTTATTTATTCACTCTTTTTTTCTCTGTTCTGCCTGTCATCTCTCGCCCCCTCTTATCACCTTTTCTTCCTGGAAAAAAAACTCTCACTACCTAATATTTGTCATCTCTTTTTCTCATTTCTCTTTCTGTCTGTACTAACCCTCCTTTCCTTGTGTGTGTGTCCTCTCTCCTGGTTTAGAGGCACAGCAGACAGCTCTCCTACTGAGGACGTCTGTCAGTCTCCCCCTCAGCCCAGCTCTGATGCATAGAGGTACTGTCTGTGGTCTCGGCCTCCCAATGGTCTATACCTGCAGTGTACTGTTGGGAAAACACAGCAGCAGCATAACAGAGAGAAAAACAACCTTAAAGCAAATATATAACCTATAACAGCAGTGCCAAATTCACTCACAATCAGGCTTTTATTCATAGAAATCTGCCCATACACAATTATGAAATGATTATGCAACATACTGAGTGGTCACTTACATAATCAACTGTGGGGGACTGACAATGGGGAATGGGGACAATTTTCTTGTTCTTTGATGGTGGAGGAATCTGTGTCATGTACTCTTTCCCTGGCTGTATCTGTATGTGATCTCTGCATGTGCTCTGCTCTGTGGTCTGATACTGACACTGTGGCTAATTCCTTACAGGATTTACTAATAGAAAATACTTAACCATCTGCTGCATGTGTTGTAACAGAGAACATTGTTTAACAAACAACAATCTCAGGAGCAGACGAACACAGAGACAGACAAATATGATGAAGATGATAGTATTTGGAATATTTATTGGCATTTATTTATTTATTGGAATAAAACACTTTTCTCAGAAGTCAGTCTTATCCTGGCCATGTGTCTTCTTCTGCAGGTCTTTCAGTGACAGCTGTTTTCTCAGCAGCCCCCTGTGTTCAGAGTTGGCAGATGTGCAGTGGTACGGACACGATAAGGCCAAACCTGGAACCCTGGTCTGAGACCTTCCTATAGGGCCCAGAAAAGTCCCATTGCCCTCTCCTACTGCCTCTCCACTGTCCCTCACTACTACCCATCGACAACCAACAACCTCATCCTTAAGCCCCTACAAAAACCCTGCCCTGAACGGACTGGCGGACTGAACATGAGCCTCCCTCCTCCCTAAATCCTGGCCTCCATCCATCTCACCACTTCTTTATTACACCCCTCTACCACAGCTCAGCTGGACAGTTACTCGCTCGCTGGGCTCTGATAAGACTCGATTACACAGGACAGACTGAGAAATGCCACCTCAGCTGTCGAACTTTTTGCCGTACAGCACCACAGAGCCCGTTCTTTACTCACCCTCAGCACACAAGCGAAGGGGGCAAGGGGGGGGGGAAGGAGCGATGGGAAGAGAGAGCACAGAAAAATATCAAACATACAACTCAAATTCAACAGAACCAACATCGGCCATTTCAGGATATGTATCATTTCTCATCTTTGGTCCCCCGACCTTACTAACTCCAGTGCACTGCCACCCAATCAGAGGATACCTGCTGGATTTGAGCCACCAGTTTAAACCCCATTTCCAGGCCCAGATGAACTGTGTTGGATTTCATTATTCCCATTAATGTTGTTTGTCGTTTTGTTTATGTCTCCCTGCATATTTATAAAAAAAAAAAAGAGAAGATGACACAGACTTTTAAAAACAAGAATCTGGATTAAGAAACATTTAGGTGACAAATTCAACTCCTCTCAGTTTAACCCACAACCAAAGACAACAACTGGATTTACTGGTCATACCAGGGTCCCTGGGCTGGTGCCCCCCGCAGAAAAGTAACTGCAACTGTATGAGAGTGAATTCACAGTGACAATATCAGGATGGTTCATGGGACTCTATCTGGGATATTGATGAGGACTATAGCAATAACAAACATTGTACAAGTATATGAACTGGTTTGAATCTACAGAGTGAATCGAAGCAGGCGTTTGGCCATGTTCTTTGCCTTGTGATGCCTGGAGTAAAGGATTATTAGTGCATCATAGGGAGAATTTGGAGTTGTGGTTATTGGGTTTGGCATTAATCTATGCTTATTTCAGTGACTTCATCATTCATGTTTATTTAATGTCTTTGGTCTTTATAAGATTTCTCTGTCCACAACGGTTTGTTTGGCCACATGGTGCATTGTGATCAATACTAAGAATTCTGAATCCACCTCTTCACATTTTTCATTTTCACCCCTGATAGTGAAACATGATTGGCTGTTGGCGTTACATGTGTTTGATATTAAGGCTGTTCAGTGATAAATCTCTACAGTGAATTGTCTTTTTTTAATCACTACTGTCTCTTTTTCTCCTTTGGTCTTGGCTCTATACCGGTTCTCACCATGCTGACTGTCTTGTCAGTCTTTTGTAGCACTGTGTTTTCACATCTTTCGGTCCATCTCTTCAGCATGACAGGAGCGTCTGACTGAACCCAGACAGTCTGAACTCAATTCCGGCTAGAGCACACACACACACACACACACACACACACTAACACGACACCTCATATTATGGGCACGCATGAGTGCAAGTTTATCAGTGCCAAACATGTTGGTGCTTTTACATTTTTTTTTTACTGTAATTCAGCACTGAACCAGCCACACCTTCAATCTGCAAACCCCCTTTCAAATCCTAACAATAAACCCCCACGGTCTATAGCCCTTGTATATAACAGCAGCAAGGCAGAGTAACCAGAAGACACTTAAAAGACTTCTGTGTTCTCTATGATTTGGTATCAGGTGTTGTAGGAATTATTCAAACATACTTTATAAAAGCACAACAGTGTCTATGAGGGCTTTAGTGTGTTCTCATTTTCCACTCTCAATATTTGAATATAAGTTGTATCAAAGTGCATAAAAGGAAACCAGACAAAAACCACAGATGAGGTGTTACATGATAGTGCTCTTTTTATTTGCATACGGACAATTTCAGGTTGACTAATTAATACCCCTCTGTCGGGGCAAAAGAGAAGCCATAGCGACAACTGAAACAAACAATACCTTTCAAATGGAGATAGTTATTTTGTCACACATCCCAATCAGCAGGCAGATCTTCAGAACAGGGTTAGAAAAGCACACCTGGTTTTGTACGAAGGACGTAGAACTCTGCATGTTTTAGCTGTCTCCCTCATCTTCCCCTAACCAGAGTTAACAGATGTTCATTTTATTAAGATTATGACAGATTCTACATCTCAGTTATAGAGAGAAGTGGACATGTTTTTTTCAGTCTTACAGCACCATTATGTTTGGATAAAAGGTGTAACATGCTTTATGGCATGGGAGGAATGGAACGTATCTCACCCTGTCCCTCATAGTGTTGTGTTTCCTTTATGCACTGACATCAGTTGTGGTAATCTGAAGGTTTAGCCCTCTCCCTGCATGGTTGGTTCTCCAAGAGTTGTCCACCCATGCCCTGTCAAATTTGATTAGCCTTTACCCAGGATTGGAACCAGCACTCCCTGGTTACAGTCTCATATGAATGAATTACTCTGTGTATTCAAGTCAACCTATTAGAGTACAAGTTTGACCCTGCTTTGCTCACTCAAAGCCTTTGCCCACTGTTTGTGCTCTAAAGACACAACCCCATGCATGCTCTGCAGATCCACTGACAAAAAAAAAAAAAAGGACCCCAAAGACATTGAGCATCCGACCTCTATACGCTAACATTAGCAGGTCTTGCTCCAGAGTGGTTTCTCGCACCCAGAAAGTCCCATTTTAACCTTGTGGTAATCTCTGACCTCTGAGCCCGATGTGAAGAAGTGTGATGTCCCCTCCCTCTGTAGCTCCAAACATACCTTATTTTCTGTGCTCCATTAAAAAAAATGTATGAGGTTTTTTGTAATACTCCAAGAGAAACAAACTAACTCTTTTATCAGTCTTTATCTGTATGTACGGAGGGGCGCTGTAAGGTTTTGGTGGGGTTTTTAACATTCACATTCATTGTTTTAACAATTTTCCATTTTATATGAACCAGTATTGTTTGTTTTTTTTAGTTCTGACATTGTAACAACCCTTTCAGGTGCTACAAAATGACCAGTTACTGCTTTGTCACGTAGGATCTAGATATCTCTTCATTGTTATCAATAGATTCAATACCAGATGTGCAAAATGAAGCTTATTTTAACAGACAGTTTAATAGTAGAACACTTCCCCTACCAGACAATAGAGCATGTAACTTGATTTTATCAGTTCAGTTCAACTGTAACAATAAATTTAAGGTGTTGTAGAAAAAATGTGGAATTGATAAAAAAAAAAAAAAACTGAATTCCACAGTTAATTTATTCTTTTTTCTATTAAAAATTTGTATAGTAACTTTACATTTTTCAAAACTGTGTTGTTGGAAATTGATGATGAATTTTCAAGATGAGAAGCCGTGGTGGTTCTTCAGAGTAAGAAAAATAAATTATTGATGAATGTTCTCAAGATTACGCGTTTGTCTTTTTTTTTTTTTTTTTTTTTCTCTTCCTTAAGTTATTTGGTCATTCACTTGCTCCCAGGTGGCTCAGATCAAATCCCTCCAGGTAATTCCGCTGAAAGGTCAGAGTACCAGTCAGACTTATCAAAGGGAATCCCCACATGTAGTCACCACTTCCACTCCTCCGGACACACTCACTCTCCTGTCATCACATCCAGGCCTCAGTCACTTCCCGTTTAACACTCTGGCCTATGAGAGAAGGAGAGAAAGGATTTCCTGTGGATTCAAAAGGAAGATACACTCCAAAGATAAAAGATATTACTCATCACCCATGCAGAGCACAAGATGAAACAGCTGCACAGATGCATCTAGGCATAGAGTTTTTTTTTCCCCCCACATATTTTACCGCTTTTTCTGATTTGCGTGCCACTATGTCACATGGTTGGCTGCTAACTCAGATCACGCAACGATCTATCTTCATGTAAATGCAACATGGAAAGTACTGGCAAGAGATGCAGACATCTGAGCAAACAAATTGTTTGTGCAACTTAAACATGTGCCCTCACATCCTGTAACACTAGCTACACAGACTACAAACGCACACAAACAGTAGTTGTAATACTTAACCACATAGAAACATTGTTTCTACCAGAGGAATCAGTTGTCAGTTTCTGTGAGGACACCCAACCTCGTCATCCTGCTTTCTTTTATCCTCCTTCTGTGTCCATTTACTAATGAATCCCATGTTACTCTTTGTACTCGGTGCGTTCCCATAGCAGCTCTCTCAACCAGGCAACAGCTGGAAACTGTTAGCCAGACATGCCGTGAGAAACTAGCTCCTCTGTGATTTTTTTCACTCACACAAGTCTGTTTATGTGTGTGTGTGTGTGTGTGTGTGTGTGCGCTTGCTATAGGAGTGTATGACCTTGCTTTATATTCTTAATGAAATCCTCCATCATTTAAATACTCAAACACACCACATCCTTCACCGTGTCTTGACTCTGTGTACTCTTGGACATCTATCTTTGTGAGGACCAGTTTGAGTTTTGGACCATAAAAGTGAAGACATTTTTGCAACATTATGACATTTTATTATGTCTTTTCAGTGACAGCTTTAGGGCGTACACATGGTTTTAGGGTTAAGGTTAGTGTTATATTGAGGTTGAGGTTATAATTAACGTTAAGGTATTTGTTGTGAAATTTGGATATGTTGGAGATTTGAAGAGATCGATGCAAACATACTAAAACAGATCATTTATTTCATTTTATTTACACTCAGTGATCATAGATAGATTAAAACAGTGAATTCACAATCCACACATCATACTGTTCCACAACAAGAGGCCTCCTTCCTGACAATGTTTATATTCTGTAGAGAAGATGACCACACATCCAGCTCCAATGATTTTTTTTACCGACATTTCAACCACACTTACATATATATACATGCCACACATGATGTACAATACACTGTATATCCTCATCGCAATGCTTAACCAGAATTATCTCTATATGTTAACACGTGATAGCACCTTAGTGTGCGGTCACCTTCTCTTCAGTGTGTTTTATGTCTCATCCTGATTCTTATTTTTAAGTGCATTCTCTGTTCTTACACTGAACAGAATAAGTTGATTTGTCGATGAGCCTGTACAACATGTCAAATCAGTGGCAATGCTGCCCTCTAGTGTTCACCACAGAGCAGTGAGATTGCTCAACTCAAAAACACCATTACTTGTTTAACAAGCTGCTTTTCATTTTAAGGTTTTGACTTTGCTGTTGGAAAGTTTTTGGGGATCCCAAAGGAGAAGCGATACTGAGCCATCAGTCAGGTGACATATAATTTCACAATAACGAAAACAATTTCCACAATCAGGACTGCATAAGCTATTCATACCAACCATACAGACCCTGATCAACAACAGTAACTTGAGTTTACAAAACAGGAGTGTCTTAAAAAGTCTTTCAGTTTCACAGACTGAATTCCCCTTGTTCCAGTAGAGGCCCGTCCGGATCCTGCCCAAAAAACAGCAAAAAACATTCAGACACCATTAAATTTCACAATCTATGATCATCCAAACTGACTGGGCTTTTTACATTTGGTATCTCAGATTTGTTTTGCTGGCAAAGTTCACAAAAAACCATGTCATCATCTTTAATCAGCTAAATCAAACGATACAGTTAAACAGTATTCCTGACTATTCAAAAAAGTATTCTGAACTGGAAATGACCAAAGCGCCGAAGTTAATGATAAATCAGTCATTAATCATGACCTGTCCTATTAGATTTACCTGTGAGAGGCGGTGGTAGGCCTGAATATGGGGCTGACTGTAGCGACGTAGGCCTCTCCACGACAGGAAAAGAATGTAGACTGATGCCAGAAAACACTGCACAGTAAATGCTATGGAGCTCCCCTTTGCAACATATGAACCAACACGCTAGTGAGAAAAGTCAGTGGAGAGAGAGAGAGAGAGAGAGAGAGAGAGAGAGAAAGAGTGAGGAGAACACTTCCATCAGGAATCAGAGGGCGTTTATTTCTACACTTTCAGTATATAAAGCTAGAATTTGAAACAAGCTTTTCATAATAGTTAGAAAAGTGTTGCCCAGCTTGTATTGGTGGATCTCTCGAAAGGCAAAAAGAAACATCTTAACACAATCTTTTAATGATATAAATTAATGTAAATAGTATCTATAGAATTGCACAATCACCTGTTGGTCTGTCTTGAGTGCGACAGGCTGGGTAGACCTGAGGTTATTGGCCAGGAGAGCAGAGAAACCAAACAGTAGAGTAAAGACGTTCAGAACCATCAGTGAGATAATCTGTTAAGTGAAAAATTAGGTGAGGCAGCAGAAAACAAGCAAAAAGGTCAGATTAGAAATGATTACTCAAAGTATTTACCTTTAATTTACTGGCTTTCCTCTGCACCTCCACTGCCAGACACCCAGCAGCTGCATACTGTAACAACACAAACAGTTATGACCCAGTATTTGACCCTCTCCATCTTCCTTAGTAGATTTGCAGAGTGTATATCAGTCGAAGCAGATGTGGACTCACAAATAGGCTTGACCACACTGGTGTTGTCATGGAGACAGAGCAGTTGTAGCTCACACATGCATGAATGACTGTGGTTAGTATGCAAGGTAAGGCACTGAGGATCTGCACCACCTAAGGGGAAACATGTGAAATGAATCTGGCAAACAGTTTAAGAGCTTAAAAAACTACATTAACCAAATGTTTGGACAAGCACAAGAAAGTACTATCTCACCCCAGCGACTAACAGTCTGGTGTTCACTACAGTCCCAAACCAACGCTGAATCCTGACATTGACTAGCTCCCCCTGATTGGTAACCTGGGTCAGTGGGCGGGTTGTGGGTGTCTCTTTAAAAAACACCTGGTACAGCCCCTCCTGAAACATGTTCTGCGTCATCTGTTTTGGGTGAAAACAGTAACTTGTAGGAAAACAGAACGGATGTTGAAATAGCCCTACCCATACATTGTGTACACACACACACACACACACACACACACACATATTCGATTCAGATGTCACACCTGATTTGACTTTGACTTACCTTGCCCAAATGTTGTTAAAGCTTTAACTTATTTATCCACAGGCCCTCATATTAACAAATGTCATTTAACTGAAATAGGAAACCTTTAAAGCTTTCTCACTGCTGCTGTTATCCCTCGGTGTAGCACGCTAGATCCAGAGGGTCAAAGTTCACTTGAGTTGGATGATAATGAATGGTTAAAGTCCACTGTTGAGGGAGTGATTCAGGAAGATCATTGGTCATGACTGAAGATCTTATCAGCTTGCTTACTTACTTCTTTGCAGGTTTCGTTTTAGAGGCAGACTGAGATTATACCTATATACTCCATTAGCAAAATAACACTCATCCTGCACCCTAACCCTCAAATTCAGATAGTACAAGAACCACAATACTTACAAACTCGACCAAGTTTAGAAATAAAAAAAGCAACATTTAAACACACTGAAAAGGTTTTTAACAATCAAATAAAATGCAACTAAAAAACATAATCTCAGAAGATATATCAGAGACCACAAAATAAAAACACAAAGACATAATGAGGACAAACATAATAGGATAAAGATATCATATAAAAGCATGTAAAGAGAGAGAGAGAGAGAGAGAGATAGGAGACTATCAGAACCATTCATATACTATATATAATTCAGTGTCTAATCGGCTTATGTAGCAATAGAAAGAGATACTAGAATTTTAAATATGAGCGAGACCTATGATCAAGCTTTTGAAATATGCTGCTCATAAGAGGAGTTGTCTTGCCAGTTGTACTAAGAGTGTAACATTGAGTGTTTAATGGGACTGCAGCAGTCTTGGAACAATTTTTCACATTTTAATATCACTGCATCACTCAAAATGCGTTCATTCATTTCTTCATACATGCTGAGGTGGAATTTAATGTTAGTGCCACATGAGCATCATCACAGGCCTGCCAATTGAGCTGCATTCTATAAATGCAGTACCCAACTCCGTCCCTTCAACTATTGTCCACTTTTTTCATGTAAAAAAATAAGTAAGTCATAAATTACAATTCCAATAACATTAGTGACTGAAGCTGTTCAAAAGGAAAATTATGTTTACTTTTATTTATTTATATATCATATTTTGGCATATAAGAAGTGTAACAAAAATATTACATCATGTAGACAATCATATGTGGAAAGTTAAGAATGACACACGAAGAGAGCACAAGCATCTCCCATCTCAGACCACAAACCAGTCTAAGAAAAGCCACAGATGGCAGCAGAAAGAGGACACCCAGCACTGAGGACACTGGGCAGATGGACACACATTTGGAGGACCTATAAATAGAGGCATGTCAGACCCATTCTGTTTTTCCAGGCATTGTTTCTGTGTCATCATCGTCCTCTATACTTCCTGCGTACAGGTCAGCCAACTTGCTGAAACAGTGATCCTGAAAGTCCTGGTCCTCATCTGAGTCTGAGGAGTTGATGGAACTGAGAGAAAGCGCATCTGAGCCGACGCCCTCATAGTCAAACATCAGAAGACAGTCATAAGGAGGAGCTAGGGGGTCACTGTCTGCAGCGTGCAGGTTCTACAAGGGAAACCAAGGAAACATAATTGTAGACTCACAAAGCAGAGATACTATTGTGAAATTACTATACAGGTAGGTCTGATGTATAAAATTCAACATCACTCACGTCCTCAAGGAATTTCCCAATTTCTTCATTGGCTTGGAGTTGTCGGCGATAGCTTGGGCGGCTCTTGGCAGTAGGAAACACATCAGTGCAGAAGACTTCAGGACGGTTATCAAGCCCTCTGTGGAGCTGGCTCAGGTCATACTCCTAAAGAGTAGTGATGAGAATATAAAGTGAAGCCCTTACTACATCCATTCCTGTCACTTTTAGACAGATAGATAGAATATTAATATAATCCAATACAATGCAATCTGACAACGCATATGTCTTGTAATAACAACTGCATTAAAACCTCCTGCTCCTACCCTGTCCTCTTCGCCTCCTCCCTCCTCATTGTAGTAGAAGATGTTCTCCCTGTGTACGTCTTCAAGAAAAGGGACACCCTTCTCCGACGCCTTCCTCCTTCTCAGAAACAACATCAGCAGCAAGAGCAGTACTGAAGTCAACAGAAAAACCAAAACAAATAAAGACAGATCAGGCGAACCAAAGCAAATTTAGGTCAGTCGGGATAATAAGAAAGACCTGATACATACACAGAAAAACAAAAATTGCTCCCAGAACTGAGGTTGTGAGAGAAGGAATGAGCAGACGAGGTGCAGAACGTGGGATAAAACAGCTTGAGACAGTCCCTTGACACTGACACACTTCTACTTCTAATGTGCTGTCTTGGTAGAGCATTTCAACATCATAGATACGCATCAGCACATAATAGTCCCCAGGTGATAACTCCCATTTTGGAGCCAGGGCTGCCACGTTGCCTGCAGGGGGGGAAAAGATGCAGAATTAATACTTTTGGAGTCTTTGGTGTGAGTTTTGAGTAAATATTTGTTTATTTATGTGTGCAGTGATGAGTATGTATGCTGTTAATAAGCTGTCTTACTTGTGGAATTGGTGCTAATAGTCCAGTTGATCCTGTGCTCTCCTTGAAGCTCCACAGTAAATGGTCCAGCATGACCTGGTCCATCAAGGTCCACTATACCAAGCTGGGCAGGAAAGGGGTCTCTATTGCAGAGGCTGGCTTTCCTCTGCTTGATCACAGGGAGATGGTCATTCACATCAAGTAAACTCACAACCAGAGTACCTGTCCCAGTAGCTGGGAGAGTATCTATGAGGATAAAGAGAGAAGGACACTGCAGGGTTATTGGTTTCGTAGGGATAAAAATTGGCAAATTGGGATGAAGGCTGTGACGGTGTGTACATTTACCATTGTCATAAGCCAAAACTAGGATTGTATATTTGCTGTCTTTGACATAATGTGACTCTCTGTCCATGCTGCTTTTAACTTTGACTGATCCTGTGTCTTTATCAATACTCAGCCAATTGACAGTGTCATTGTGTAGTCCATATCTGAAAGCAAAAGAAAAAACCTGATTATAGTTCAAACAGAATAGTGTACATGCATATATACACTACATACTGTACATACTGCGGCCGCATGCAAATACCTAATGCTCTGTTTCCTGTCTGTGTCTGGGTCCTTAGCTCTGAGGTTGGCCACAGAACTCCCTACCGCTGCATCTTCTGAGATGCTTACATGGGTCCTTGCTGGAATGAAAGCAGGAGGTTCGTTCTTGTCCACAACTGCTACGGTGACTGTGGCTGTCGAGGTTGACACCGGTCCAGTAAACGGCACCTCATTTGTCGCCACCACCATCAGAGTAAAGACAGGAATGCTCTCAAAGTCCAGCCCCTTGGAAATGATGTAGAGAGCAAACATAATGTCCTCTGCTTATTGAATAAGACACCAAAGACTTGCAATAAAAATGGACAGATGTTTCCCAACCTTGGCTGTTTTGAGGATTCCTTCCATTTTATTAGAGCCGGTGGTGATGTTGAAGTCTCCCCGCTCGTCGCCTTTGATGATTGAGTATCTGGTGTTGGCACTCGGAGATCCTAACTCATCCTTGTCAGTGACCTTTAGTCTTACTACCTCCACCCCAACCTCATTCTCAGGGACTGATGTGGATATCTGGGGGGGAAAAGCAATAAACTTTGCTAAAGGCAGTTACAGATTGAACTTATTTCATCATGATTGTAAAGTATTTGGACATTTTTAACTCACAAATGTGAGGGTGAAGAGTGGAGCGTTATCGTTGCTGTCAATAACGCTAATGATAGCCGTGCAGGTGTCTGCGAGGCCCTCCCCCTCCATATCAGCGACCTGAATGGTCAGCATGTACTCTGGCTGAGTCTAACACAGGGAGGTGAGTTACAATGGAAAATATGAAAAAGAAAGTCTTGGAAAGAGAAGAGCCATGTTCTCACTGTATTATTGCATTACCTCTCTGTCCAGTCCATCTGCCCTCAAACTGATGATTCCACTCACTGGGTTTATGGTAAACATGTCCTCTTTGGGCATTTGAGGCATCTGAGCCATTATCCTATACCTTATTATAGCATTGTTCGTCCGTGGGTCATCTTTATCCACTGCTGTTACCTTCATGATGGAGTCACCTGTTGAAGAAATCCGTATCGCAGAGAATATAAGGACTGGAAACACACATTTCAGGGAGTAAAATAAAGTTTTCTGAATCCCTCTCTCACCAATCTCAGCGCTTTCACTCACTCCACCATAGAAAGGGTCCTCAATGAATTTTGGAGCATTGTCATTCTGGTCAATGACGTTGATAATGAGCTCCATGGGCTCCTCAGCCTGAATGCCCTCATTCAGTGCATGGGCCAACAGCTGTAACACACACCACACACTGTATTTTCTAACAGTAATTGTGTATAAGGATGAAGACACAGCTATGAGTATAAAACATGAGATGAGGCTTCCTTTTCGCAGCTCACAGTGTATTTCGCTGTTTTCTCCCTGTCCAGTGGCTCGGTCACATACAGCACCCCAGATCGCCGATCAACAGTAAAAAGACCCTCAGGGGGCCGATCAGCACCTGGTCCAGTGATCTTGTAGGTTATCGCCACCTTTTCGTCGTTGTTTGACTTGATCTAAAGCACGATAACACAGATATTTTAGTAAAGGAAACTTTAGCCACAGCAAACACATTTAGTGAAAGTGTATTCAAAACTATTTAATTTGCTTAATACTAGTGCTGTTACCTTCACCATGAATTGGGGATATGGACCGTTGTCATTCTCTGGAAAGTTAATTGGTGGAATAACCCACTCTCTCTTCATCCGTTTCAAACCGCCAGACACGTGTGGAAACTCAAAGGTGGGGAGCTGCTCGGGGCGTGTGTCAGAGTTGTTCTGTTTGAATCAGAACTCACCAGGTCAAGTCAGATATATAACTGCAATCTAACTGTTACAATAAGTTTAAGATTACAAAATGACCACTCAATTTACCTGTACATTTTTGCTTCTTGGGATTTCATTATTTGAGTAGTTTATCCTGTTGTTCAAGCAGCGTGGCTGAATTTCTGCTGCAGCCAGAAAGACTAAACACTGAGGAACAAACATTCATTGTCCGATTAAACAGTCACACACTGCAACTTTTAACAATGCTTATATCCATGTAATGGAAGTGCAATACTGGGGTGCGATAGGGTGTACATGTTTCATCCTCAAATATGAAATAATAAAGAACTTATTTATATTAAACTTTATAAAAACAATAATTCAAAATAAACACTAGTGAAAGACAAATGCAAATGAATAAAAGTTATACTCATAAAATTATATACAGGTGGGCTAAGCAATGAAGACAGTTTGCAGTTTTCTGACTGAATTGGGGCAGTCACCATAAAAACTGGTGACTGAAGAAAAAAAACTTAGCTCATTACTCCAACTTTTAACACTCACCTGGACTTGGCACAGCAAGAAGAACACCCTTAAAGTCCTGCTGTTCCCCATCATCTCCTTCAGTATAAAAACCCTACAGATCTTTCTTCCACCGTCACTGGACTCACAACTGGATCTGCTGCTTTGTTCCAATGGCAGCCTGCCAAGTTTGTGGCATTTACAATCCCTTGTTATAGAGTTTTTTACCTCCAGAGTCCTCGTTCTGTTGATTAATGTATCATCTTCCAGTACTATCAGTATTCGTTCTTTTAACTGCCTCTGGCAACAGTGACCATGTGTTTACTGTGCTTAACTTTTCTCCCAACAAGGCTAACTGAGCAGTTGCTTGATTTTTATCAGCGAAAAGTCGGTGAAAAGTTAGAGGTGACCTCGGGCACAGTCAGACATGCAGGTGTCTGTTTACACTGAAGCTTCCAGTCTTACATGTTGTCCAGGGTAGTGGTGCACCTTTCTCTAAGTGTTAGCAGTGTTTACATAACACTTCAGGATCAGATTGGCTCCCATGACACTCAGCAACTAAAATGTTCTTCCCACACAGCTTTAGATACTCTCTTGGTGGCCTCTGTGCTTCATTTCATTTCATTCACTTTTTAATTCAAATGTCTATGTGATAAAAAAAAAGAGAAAACAAGAAAAATGTTCTCAATTGTTTAATATGAAGCATCTGCACAATTCTTCCAGTGAGTGGAGTGTCAACTTTAATACATCTAACAATCACAGTGAAGACTTACACAAAGTTATACTTGTGTAAAAGTATACTTTACAGCTTATACATACAGACAAGCAAAAAAAAAATTATTATAAATGGAGACATGGAACAAGATGAAATGCAACTCAAGTTATGTCTATAAAATGTCCATCATGAGTACACTGAATTTGACCTGATACATGCTACAATTGTGAATATGTAACCTGTGTTAAGTCTACAGTCAGTGTTCTTTTAAACATACCTGACACTGAAATATTGAAAACTGTCCTTCAACACAGTTATAAATCGATTTATGTAACAGGTTGTGGGTTTCTCCCAAGGTATCCAGAAAATGTTGGCTGTGATCTGACAGGGCTGAATGTTTTTTTTTCATCTCTGTCCAGCTCTGTAAAAACCTTCTGTTAGCTGTGGCGAGGTCTGGCCAGGTTGGAGTTCAGATACACCACAGTTGCTGTGATATCGTCTCTGTACATTCGAGCCAGGTCCTCTGGCAAAGCAAGCATAGAGGCCAGTCTCTCCTGGCAAAGTTCACCATACTCCCCAGTGCCGAGAGCATGTCTGATCAGGTGTGTGGCAGCGTTGGTGTCTAAAGCAGGGGAGGCACGGACCTGGCGTTTCAGCAAGAGTTCATGCATCTGACCCAATTTCAGCTGCCTCTCAGATGGAGAAACTGGAGCCTGGGGGGGGAAAAAAAACAGGTAGAAACAATTTTTACAGGATAAAAACACAAGAAAATTCAAAATTTGTCACTTTCACTTCACACACAAACCTGTAGGTGAATCCCACTCAGGTGCTCTCCAATGAGCCGTACAGCCTCCTCGCTCCCTAGTTCATCCCACAGTCCGTCAGTGCCGAGAATCAGGAAGCGGTCCTGAGGTCTCAGCTTGTGGTAGGTTATCTCAGGTGCCACATCCAGATAAGGCGGAGTTAGGTAGTTAGGTGGAGTGTACTGGTACAGGTTGAGAGAGTCCAGGTCCACTCTGGATTCCAGGCTGGCTAAAACGCTCTGCTGTAACTCACGGCTCCACTTGAATCTTATGTCGCCAAATGCACGCAGGGGCATCAGAACCTAACAGCACAACAGAAGCTTAGGACCAGTGACTTATTTTCTAAACTCAGCAGTCAACTCACTGCAAAGTGCCTGTTAGTGTTATGCTATTAACAACTCTCACCCCAAGCAGTCTGTCATCTGTGACCACTGTGTCTCTCTCTGAGGATGGGTGCTGTGCCTTGATCCGCTCTACCTCAACCTGGTTCTGTGAGTTGTGGTCCTGGGAAAGGGGCAAAGCACTCCATGAACCGTCCTCCTCCTGCACGCCCAATACCACTCGGCAGTCTCCGGCATTCCCCACGTGGATCCCTTCTGTGCCAACGTGAGCCACACAGGCAGTGCAACCGGCAAACGCAACCTGGACAGATAAAGATACCTGCATTTGTATCAACACTTTCTTTTTTTTTTACCTTGAATACACTGAAGCATCAAAGAAAGGCATATTTTATTACCTGGATGGCTGTGCTTCTCATCAGGTCATTGGAAAGAGGGACTTGAGCCTCCAAGGAGATGTCAGCGTCGAGCCGTTTGAAAGCACGATCCAGAGCGTCTGGAGGACTAAAAGAAAAGATGGTGGAAGGATGTAAAAGGGAAACCGATCACATGCACGTATATACAGTTGTATATGTTGTATCTATGTACATATATAGACATATATGCTTTCATAACACACTCTTCCATACCTCATGCCTTCATCATGTTCGTCGCTGTCCAGTAACTCTTGCCAGAAGACTCTGAGGTGCTCAATGTAGAGTGAGGCAGATTCACGATAGTTGAAGTCTGCATGGTGTTTGTGCCACTGCAAGATGGGAGGAACAGGTCTGCCATGCTCCATGCATCTCTCAAGCTCCTCCAGGCTCTGCCTTGGCATCATTGCAACTGCAATGTAGTACAGCAGCCGCTCACTGACAGCCTGCGCACACGCCCAGCCCCCGTGGCCGTCAAACACTCCAAAGAGCATGCCCTTTGACTGGAGAACAGATGGAGAAAAATTCTATTAGATTTTACAAGAAGAGGGAGAAAAGTAGGGAGACGGGTGTACAGAAAGAGGGGAGAAGAGGCATACCTGTAAGCAGGTGGCTGCACTGCGACGGTCCTCATTAGGTGTGTTGGAAGCCAGCTGGTTGCTCTCAAACTTTCTCACAGCACTCAGACCCCTGCCATCAAACTCTGGCACACTCACAATCTGAGACACACAGATGTTGATACAGGGTTACTCATAACTGCAAAGGTATTCTATATGCAATAATGATATGTCAGATGAGCAACATGTTTCCAGAACAGAGACATTACCTGCTCATTAGATCGCAGAATACTGTTGATTTGGACCTGGCTGAGCTGGAAGTCTAGATCCTGTCGGGTGGAAAGGTGCCGCTCACTTTGAGACCTGTTTCCTGACTCCTCACCACTGGAGCTCAACTTGTCTGATCTGGAGGTACCCCATGATGAGATGTGACGATGGTGGGATAGTCGAGGGTGAGGAGAGGGAATTGCTACAAGGTTGCCAAACTGTATGAACAAGAAAAATTTTAGAAGATTAGAACATCCTACCCCATAAATAAATTTAAAACAAATGCAAGCAATCAGGATACAAACCTGCAATGGGGCAGTAGAGTGAAATGTAAATGTGTAGCTTGAAACTCTTTGAAGGATGCTGGCCCACACACGTCCCGACATCTCTAATGCAACGCTAATGGTAGGAGGTTGCAGCACTTAATCACCCTGTGATATATCAAGGGGGGAAAGGGAATTAATAACGTTACGGTGATATCAACACACACTATGACAACGAAGGAGCTCATATAAACAGACGGCAAGCTAGATGTCGTTAGCCACCTTCAAATTAACGCCTTAATCAACATGCTATAAGCCAATAACAAGCAGCATACCGTTACCTCTCCGTATGACATTTCAGTGGCGTTAATAGGTGCAAGCTGGCTACATAACATTGACTTGACAACTTATAAAACGTAGTTAGCTTGCTAGCTGGCTAGCTCCGCTCACGTTTAACATACAGGATTAGCGACACTAATCTAAGCACGAGCTGAAAGCGTCTCCACAGCGATCGATGTGGTACATATTAAATACGAAACAAATAAACACTTAATTAAATACGTACAAACTTAGCAAAGTTACGAATGAATCGATGTCGAGTTGTCATCAACTCCACACATGACGGCGTTGTGCCATGACGTCTGACGTTGCCAGGAGACGCAGCGTTGTAGTTCTTGCGAAGAAGGAAAAGTGTGAGGAAGATTGTGAACGATTTTAATAGACGATCTTTGTGTTAGACACTTATAACGTTACTGTCAATGGTCCAACACAAAGATCGTCTATTTACTGCCAACGGTTAGACAGTTCACCATGAGCTCGACCTTCAGTGGCCCAATATTTTTTTTAGATTGTACGTTATGAGGCCATATTTTGTTTTCAAATTAGTTTTATTATTTCTCAATATAAGATTTTGATATACGAAGTTTGTTTATTGAAGAATATTATTCAATAGCAGTTCGGGAATAAGCCTCCCTTCCGTCCTACGACTAAAACTATAGAGTTTAAGCTAACAGTTACATGACACATCATTTTTTTCCCCTACTGTTTTGTCACCTTAATGTACCCTAACGTTTGTTCAGTGAGAGATGGGATTATCTAAATTAGGCACTCTTGAGGCAAAAGTGTGGTAATTAGAAGAAAAATTATACTTTAAAAGAGCGGCTGACTGCCGAAGTTTGTTTGCTAACTAACGTTAACGTTCACTTTTAGCTGGGTTTGCTACGCTAGCAAGCTAACGTTAGTTCTGAAAATAAGATTTCTATAATATTAGATTAATATAATATAATATTATATATATTATATGTTAGCACAAAATAACGCCAAGTGGGTCAGAGGTGGGGAGGAATTAATGGTATTCTTGTCATTTTAAATTAATTTCAGAGTCATTTAAAGAGTGAAATGGATAAAAGACTGGTTTGCAGCAACGACCGTAATAGTAAGTGACATTGTTTTATTTTGTTTATGTAACATTGAATGTAGAAATGTTGTGTTATGTCTGGTTAAATGGCTAAATTTAGTCCTTCTGCTTTCAGCCATAAAGACAGATCTCAGTTTTCTGCTCGAGTGTCTGAAGTTTCAGATGAAATGTCCTGATTTGCAAAAACAAGCTCTTCTCACCATCCTCTCAATCTGTGAAAAAAGAGGTAATAGTAACCCCTCAATGCTCTATGTCTTTACCCCATAACCATCTCCTACAGCTCTATCAGTCTAACCATTTAAGTCACCTTGACATAAAACCTTTCCACTGTCTGATTCACTTTAACTTTGTGTTATTTCAGAGGACACTGTGGACATGCTGAGAGAAATGGGAGGTGTGGCATTTGTGTATAACCTCTCCAAATCCAGTATCGTTCATTCAGGCGTTAAGGAGACTGCACTCTTTACACTTGGCACGCTGGCAGAAGCCAATGGTAGGCATGTGTGGTGTGTGATTGTTGCTGAATCCCAGTTCAGGGGTGCATCTTGGTAAAGGATGCAGTCCAGAAAGTTGTGTCCTTTGCAGCAGTTGGAGCCTCTAATGTGGACGTCTTCCAAAAACTGTGGATCCAATTTAGGTGGTCCTTGTCAACTTGTAAAGTTTCTAACTTCCCGCCAGTAACAGCTGAAAAAGTGGAAAACATATGTGATAAACCTGGGCGGTAGAAAAAAATTATAGTTAACTGGCAAACACTACTACGTTAATGTTAATCTCTACCATTTTTCTGTAGATTGAGGCAAACTGAAAGCTGCAAAGGACACAAATGTGGGCATTTGAGCCTGTGGTCCTGAATTGAGATGCAGCATAATGTGTATTTTATATTACCACTACCAGTGTGCAACAAGCCTGTGTACATATGTGAATAATATCACTCTACTGGTGTAATGTGGTATTTTTGCCCTGCAGGTCATTCTAACGTTAATGTTAAGTTTTACATATTCATAAAACATTACTTATCTCTCCCTCTGGTAGTGTATTGCAAGAACTCTCTCAGCAGAAAGGAGACATTTGCAGAGGTTGCTGGTTGGTTGATGAAAGAAGACATCCCACTGACACATAAGAGAGTGTCTGTCTATTTGCTGTCCGTGTTGGTTGCCAACAACAGTAAGATCAAGGCTCTTCAACTGACATAATGAGTTAATGTTACAGGATCAGTTTTTCCATTTTTGAGCTATTCTGCCACTTGACTACAAGCTCAAAGCCATTTCATATATGCAAAACCTTTGTAGCCCTGGTGTCTGTGTGCCATTGCAGAATCAGGACAGACTTTAGCCCAAACCACTGGCTGCCTGGATATTCTCCTGCACCTCTTCAGGTACTTTACAATTCTAAACACTCTGTAATCTCATGTAGACAGTCAGTCACCCTAAGGTTAAATAAGTATGCCAGGAATTTGATTTAAAAACCCCACTCACGTGAGCACATACATATACAGTAAGTGTAATAGTATTTATTTTTGCAGGACCGCTTTCCCCCTCTCAACAGAGCCTACTTTGAGAGCAGCTAATGCTACTCAAACCTACCAACTTTGGGCATCTGTGTCTAGTGCTCTCTGTGGATGTGTCAACAACCCACAGAATGGTAATGTCACCTGTGTATTTGATCTTGTACTAAGCAGTTAATATCAAAAACCTTCATGCTCTTGCCATCTAGGCGACTAGTAAGAGCAAAAAATGTTTCCGCTTAATTGTGTGTTTCTTGTGTCTTCCAGAGGAGGGTCAGCGTGTTTGTGTGGCAGCCTTTCCCGTAATAAAAATCTGGCTTCAGCAGATTGCTTTGCCACACACTGAGATTTTTCAGCCCATATGTTCCTTCATAGCAATGACAGTTGCCAACAACTGTAAGTGAAAGAGACAGAATGGATGTGCTGTAAAAACATCAACATAACATCTTATTAAATGTTGATCATACATTTGTTTTTGCAGCCTGTGTCCAGGAGAGTTTTTCTGCCTCAGGTTGTCTGGACACCCTCAGTCTTGCACTGGTTCGTCTGGCTTCTGCAGCAGATACAAGCTTGTTGTCTTGCCAGCTTTCTGTCACTATATCCAAGACCTTGTCAGCTTGCATCACAGATAACTGTGCGTATCACTCTCACACACATACACACACCTCTAACAGTTCACTTGAACAACAATCAACACACAAGTGTTTCCTTCTCCATTCACGTTGTATTCTTCGTAGCTTTTCTGGCTTCAGGTCTGGCTCAGTATGGCGTGGTTTTCCACCTCTTCTTCCTGCTGGCTAGCCCACACCTGGAACCTGAGGACAGGCTCTCTGTTTTACTCACCCTGGGCCACTGTACTGAGGCCTCTGGTAAGACTGCACAGTAGCATGCTGTTTGGGTCTAATATTTTCTGGTAGTGTTGGACTGAATCCAAAGTGGTCCCCACTGCTTCAGCAGTCTTCCTTTCTTTGATAGTACAACAGTGTGTTACTTCCTGTCTGTAGAGGAGCATCAGTCCCAGTTGGTGCAGTGTGGAGGCCTGCCTTTTATCATAACCCTTCTCACTGAGGATATAAATGAGGAGGTTAGGAAGGCTGCTACATTCATATTGCAGTCCTGCAAACCGGCCCGTAAGTTAAAGCAGTCTTGTTTATATCGTATGTAACTATTATTACAGTAATTGTAGTTTTAACATCTAAGATGGACTCTTTTAAGAATCATAAGCATAATGATAATAATACACCAATGCCAAAAACAGTTCATTTTCTACCTACATTTACTAATGGATAAGTATAAATTTAACTTTTGACACATTAAATAATTTAAATGAGCTTTCTCACTCTTGCATACAGTATTAAATAAAAATGACAGATACTGTGAAGACCCGAAAGTTCACTCCTTCTATAACCCATAATGTTGTTAATGTGTTGGTTTTAGCAGTTTTAGCATTCCCATCACTTAACTCCTGCGTACTTAAATTAGTTGATTAGATTCGTTCCCTTTCTCCGAGAATGAAAGTGAGCTCAAATGAACAAAGAGAATGAAGTGATTGAATAATACGTGAGCTGGATGTAGAATATGGAGCTCTCATAACGATTTGTTTGTCTTTGTCTGTGAAGTCATGTCCTTGGGAGTGCCTGGTCTGATATCGAGACAGGGGGAAGATGAAAACGTGGAGCCCCTTAAAAACATGGAAGGCTTCAAGAGCTCAGCAAGAGAGTTGCTGCGGAGGATTGACCTGCTAGAGAAGAGACAGGCAGATGTACATTCACACACATATAATCAGCAGTGTAATCAGCATGGTGCATAGTGACTCACGATATATGCTTATACTCATCTTTAGGAGGCTATGGCTGAGCAGGAGGACACAGACCCATCAGCTTCAACTGAAGGGCTAGGCCAACTAGCTCTACCTCCCACCTTACCTCTGCCTCTGCAGCAGAAGGAGAGCATTAAAACCATCCCCACAACATATAAACAAACCAGCACTCTTCAGCAAGTAGAAGCAGGGGGTGATGACAACGTTCAACTTAAAACTGTCAGAAACATGATTGTGAATGAGAATGACGGCGAACTGAAGAACAAGAGCTTCAGTGTAAGTATCTGGGAAGAGAAGGCTAAAACGAGTGGAGGGGATGTGTGGTGCTCAGTGTGCAAGCGTACTGGAGCCCTGATGTCTTCCCATCTGCAGGCACTAGAGAGAGGCAGAGAGCCTCATACAGCAGACAAGTGAGTAAAGTTCCTCAGTGTTGATTACTTAATTAAAAAAACAAAGGAAATCACGGCTTTCATAATTGCCTTTTCTTCTGTTTTTTTGTTTAGTCAGTTGTTTAAGCACCCAGCACCAGTGAGGCGATGTGTACCAAAAGAAATCAAATATACTGATGAAGAAGGTAAGAGTCACACTAAATTATTATTTACCTTTATTTTTTTCAGTGTATTTTCTAACATGTTTTTTCAAGTAATGTTGTTTTTATTTTAAGAGCTGCAGGATCGTGAGATGAGTAAGGTGGGGAAAATCCCTGTGGAGGAACACTCACACTCTAATATCCGGTGTGCAGGTAGGAGAACATGATGCTGCCCCTCAGTGAAATGCTTCTTCTACTGTTTTTTAACCAACAGAAATGTGACCTTTTTTAAACGTTTTCTGACCTTAACATGATGATTAAACCAGATTTTCTTAGCTGTAGAGTTCTTGTAAATGTAGGCTGTGGTGGGTTGTTTGGGTCCAGAGAATCTGGGTTAATTCTTTTACCCTTCAAACTTTTTTTCCAAAGTCAGCTGAGTAATACATTTTTAGAGTAATAACAAAGTAGGTCCAGACATATAAAGTTTTGTGCCAGTGCAATGTGTTATTTTAAGCACATTTTGTTTTTCTCTTTGTCCTCTACAAGTCCAGGTGTACTTAGGAAGCCTGGGACTATAAAATAAGGGCACTCAAATAATCTTTATTGTATTTATATGTATTTATTTATACTTTAAGGAATCTTTCAGTTAGATTAATCATCCGTTAATTCCTTGCATCCCTGTTCTTTCTCTCCTTTAGCTTGTGTGTTACCTTTTGAGGAGGTGACCAGTCGCACTTTTGCGTCTCTCCAAAGCTCCTGCCACCACAGCTGTGACATGCACAAGGTTCTGCAGGAGGCCACAGAGCGGTTCAGGACTCGCCACTGCAACCTCCTGTTGAGGAGAGTGGAGCAGACAGAACCTGACCCAGAGAAAGATTCAGCAGCAGCGCCACAGAGAAGCTGGAAAAACTGGAGTGGTAAGAGGCTTCAACATTTGAGAAGCACAATAAATCTATTGAAAAGTAGTTCCAGTCCCTCAATGTGATTGGTCAAAGAGTACATTCCAGCCACACCAATAGTTCCTGTAAAGCACGGTTCATTTTCCACAACTGTGGAGTGTTTCCTAAAGTTGGTCAAAGTGTTGTAGGGCTTTGAAAAATCTGCTTTTGGTTTACTGCAGATGTTTTTTCTGTCATTATAACAGAATTTTAGGTCAATAAATTTATCATTCAAAACAATCATCAAATCGCCAAATAAGAACAGCTAACCAACCAAGTCAAATCAATACAAAAGAAAAGGGACTACAATGAGACAAACTCACCACTGTGTTGAATGAGGTGTTACCTGACTTGTCACTACAAGTCTCTACAGCTTCTATGTGTCCCATTTACGTATGAGTTGTTTTTCACAGTTGTTTTTTTTTCATGTTTGGACATTCACTTTGCAATGCTGAGGTTTGAAAGGTGTTATATGTCAGACAGCCAGTTCACAAAGTGGTACAAATTAAGCATTTTGTATCAAATCGACAGACATTTTCTCTCACAGTTAAAAATCAATAAATCGCCCCTATAGTATTTACTGGTACACGCTCACAATTACAAGCAAATATGAGTGGGTGCATAATCTACTGACTTTTGTTTCGGCAGTTTTCTTTACATTTTATGAGCTCTCAAGTTTTAACATTTTGTTCCCTTGCTCACTATATCGTGGTAAGCCTAGCTTTGGCAGACCTGCAACTGCAACATGTGCTAAATATTAGTGCATTTGGCAGGAAAATACATAATGCAGATATTAAAACATAGGTGTGGGCTACATTTCATACTTTGCCCCTGATATATGTCATACAGTAGGTGCACTGAATTATGGTTATTTTGTTTAACTCATTCTTTCATTGCTTGACAGCATTGCTGTGAAAGGTTATATTAATAACTATGTGTATTAACTCAGTCAAGACAAATGAGAGATCCTGTCTGGAGTTGATTAAAGATGAGAGAACCTTTCAGATAGTAAACATGCCTCATGGCGAGTTTCTGTTTTTATGATCCAATCTATTTCCTTGCCTATTACTTCATAACTGTTACCTTAATATCCACAGTACAACTACTCATAACTACTGCTATAAAATGTCTGATTTACACTCTCCTGAAAAAGATGTCAGCCTGACTCCAATACATAAAGGAGCAGAGAAAGGAAAGAGCTCCCTGCTAGAAGACCACTGGAAGAAGCGCTTTGGTAAGAATTATTCAGCAAGTGTATTTTTATATAGCTCTTCAACACACCGATGTCTTAAAAATCTCTAGGGAATGAGGCTATCTGAATTAATAATACATTATAAAACAAAATTAAAAGCTATAGGCTGTTGCCTGATATTATTAGATGTACAGTAGGCAACTGAGCTGACATACATGCACAATATTCTAGTGTGTAATTTGGGTTTCTTCTTCAACCTCTTATCATAGACATCACTTTGACTCCACTGCACAAAGGAGCTAAAAAGGACATCACTTTTAACAAGACAGGTATATATATATATGACATTATCTCAGCAACATAACATTTATTGTCGTCCTTTGTATTTGCTGAATTCAACTGCATTGATCTCGTCAGGCCGCCTTCCAGGTCCAAGCTTGACTCCCCTGAAAAGGTCTCATCTTCCTCAAGGTAAATATGTGATATCAGATATGGGTATTTACAGTAGATTACTTTTAAGTGTGTGTGAATGTTATGATTGAGAGCCTGTGGTGGGAGCTGTCCTCTGCAGTGTGCTCTTGGCAGCAGACGATCCAAAGAGCAGAAGGAATGTTGAACTGCAGCCAGTGTTCTCACAGTACAGGCCAGAGCTGTTTCAGAGCAACACAGCTGTATTAAGCTGTTTCACACTCTGTATAACACCGTGTGTGTGTGTGTGTGTGTGTGTGTGTGTGTGTGTGTGTGTGTGTGTGTGTGTGTGTGTGTGTGTGTGTGTGTGTGTGTGTGTGTGTGAGCAACAGAGAGAAAGACAGATTGAAAGGGTGTGTTCTGATGCTTTTGTGTTATGCCAGTGACATGGTAGTGAGAGGAGAGGCCTTAGAGTCTGTCCCACATTGTGATTTGGCTTGTTCTATAATCTGTACTGGCACTACATTCACTATACTGTATATTATAAGTATATATTTATATATTTTGGGGTTATATTTGCAATCCATCCCCCTCTTTTCCTCCTGCTTTCCAATTTTTCTCAGTCAGACTTGAGTGTGAGATAAGTTGCTGTAGTGTTGCAACATGGAAGCAGAAGCACTGTTGTGGATTACAGTCTTTCTGTGCTGTCAGGATGAGATTTACTGTATGTTTTTACCTCTTAGCCAAATGAATTTTCCAGTGCTCACTTTGTGTCGGTCCACACTTTGAATAGTTTTTTTTTCTTTCACTACACAGTCCACATTTTCATTCTATCTCTGTCTTAATTTTCTCCCCCTTTTTTTCTATCTAGCCTACTCCTTTCTTCATCAGCCATGCTTCTCATCCTTGATGTTTGCACGGCAGCTTTTTTGCTCTAATGAGGATTGTAAATTGTATTTCTGTATCTAAGATACACACACACACACACACACACACACACACACACACACACACACACACACACACACACACACACACACACACTCACTCACACACGGAAACAGTTTCATGTTTCAAATACAGAGAGAAGAGAAGGGAATAATAGTATATGTTGTGCTCTTAATAATGAGCCGAAGACTAGCACAGATCAGTGTTCCACTGTAAGAGTTGGACATTTTCTGTTTCTATTTATATTTATATGGCCTGCCAGGTTTTCCAACAGCTTTTTTAATGCCATTATTTTATATTTTAGAACATTGAAGTAGCAAACAATATCTGAGGAATAAAAGAAGGAAATGTACAAAGAAAAGTAGGGATGGGTTTTGAGTATCAGTTCCCATTTAGAAGTTTCAGTCTGACCAATTCCTGAGAGTTATTTAGCTCTGACACGACTTCCTCATATCATGCCTGCATTGTTAATCCACCACACAAAGGCGAAACTATTTGAATTTATGCCCATATTTTATCAAACCAGAAAACAATTGTAGACAATACATCCCCTTCGTTTACAGGGATGGTTAACTTTGGATACATACTGTAGGTTATTGCTGCACTGTCTCCTAAAGCTAGTACAAGTGTAATACCGAAGGTAAAACTGTACTATTAAAACAGCGTTCAAGGACTATTGTGGTTGTTTTTTATTTATTTATTCGTTAATTACAGGTTTTAGCCGATTAACTACAAAATGAATGTAGTTTACTGTAAGTAATTACGACTGATTTCGTCTGCTTTTGTTGGCAGGCAAATGTTTCCCTTAATTTCAGTGCAATATGAAAATCAGCTAAAATAATCAACCCCTGTTAAGATGCACAGTGAACAATAGGCTGCATTTATTTACTCATCCAGAATTGTGCATTATAACAGGATGTTAGTCTGCAGCAGAGTCTTAAACCAAATATCTGAGCATCCTTGAACACACCAGCAGAATAACTTTCAAAACAGTCCTTGCAACTGTAGTGCAGTGATAATGTAACTTGACACAAATGAGATAACACAACATCAAAGAAGTTGATTTTCACAGCATACTCAAATAAGTTGCAACCAGTCTGGATTATGGGAAAAGATGGGAAACTGTGAGATGCTTTGGAGAATGGCTGGCAGTAATTCACGCAATGTGTTGTTAATTGGGTGAAACATCAGTACGGTCTATGAAAATGAGTCATTATTAACGGGCATACGTAGCACATGATTTTTAATAGGAATAACTAACTGAAAGAAATATGTTTTGCAAGCACATTTTTTTCTATTTAATCTATTTTAGATGTAATAAGCAGATCATTTAGTAGTCAGGCTGCGTGTCAGTGGAGAAGGCATTAACAGTTCAAAAGCAGTCAGATGAACTAAGAGGCCCAGGTATTGTACTAAATGCTGTCAAATGCACATCCATACAAATGTGATGTGTCCCATAATCCACACTCTCCTGTCCATCTGACAGACTGTTACTCTTTACTCACACGTTTGTCTCTTCTGCCGTTCTTATTATTATTCTTAGAGAAGATAGAGCAAAGACTTCAGCTGTGAGGAGATGCGCTACCTACCGGAGTGAAGAAATACAGTTTCTCCTGGAACTTTATCTTCTCCTTATAACTCTCCCAGCCTGGATGCACTAATGTTGGCCTGGCCAAGAAATACGCACAGCTAATGGCAACAAGAGAAAATCTCCTTTAAGAAGTTTGATATTTTTCATCCTAACAGCCAAACTGCATTCAGATTAACAGCAGTTTGACTACTGTTTCTTTTCCTTCAAACCTTCCCTCTCTTCAGTTCAAAACACAAAGAGGCATTTACTTCGTACATTTATAATATATTCTACTGTGTGTGTGTTTACTTCAGATATTCATAATATATTGTACTGTATTTATATGGATTTGTAGCACTTTGGTGGATATTGTTCATTGTTTCTTGTTATTAAAACAGATGTTTGAGATTCTTACATTTTTTGTCAGCGTCTTCTCTGTCAAAGACATTTTCAGATTTGATTATTGCAAACAGGATTTCATAAATCTTTTTAAATTAGAATGTAGCTGTCACTATTTACTGTATGTTTGTAGTGCAAAGTGTCACTTGAGACTAATCAGGTTAAGGGTGAATTGTGCCAGTAAATTAGATGTATAACCTTTGAGGTACATTTTAAAGTTGTTTTGGTCTAGCACCACGTATTTATGAATCACCACCACCGTGTTGTCACATGTACGTCTGCCAAATTTGATTGCGACAGCACACTGTGTCTATCACTTGTGGCGGTATAAAGGCCTATCCCTAAACACTACGGCAGGAATTTCTACCAATTCTGTAGAATTCATAACTGTTTTTTAGGCCAAGTCAGATTTGCTGTGTACTTGTTTGGATAATATTGTAATGTTCAAAGAATAATAATTGTTTTGTTTTTCCACATAATCAACATGTAAAAAGTAATTTTTCAGCATTTATGGTCCAGAACAACAGAAATTACTAAGTTTGGAACATTTGGGTTTTTATTTCTGATTCACTGCACTTATGCTTATACAACAAATATTATATGTGTGTTACTTCCTTGACACGCGGTGCCATGGAAACAAATAGAAAGTTATGTTTTCTTCGTTTTTGTGCTGTGGCCATCAAAGTCCAAAGCGAGACAGGAAATCAACAAAGAGAGGGGGGGGACTCAAGGCCAGCACTTTTGTTTATTGAGCTGAAAGCCTCTGGTATGACAGGAATCACAAATAGTCCAAATCATGCTGTTTATCTATTCTCAGTGTGCATCAAGAAGCAGCTCAGTCTGCTAACTGTATCCTTTACTAAAGGCTAGCCTAACTGAGATCACTGTCTGAAGTGTGCCTCTCCCACTCCAAAGGGATTCATCAGTGTGGTGCCAAAACCATGGGATATTTGCCATGCCCTGAGGCTGTTAAAGTTAGGTGTGACTGGACAAGACAAAATGTTTGGGAGTGGGACTTATGGATTATGAATTACGGAACTGGAGGAGAAGATGGAAGTGGCGCACCACAATGATTTTCTGATCAAGATGAACTATTGTGTTTTTAAAAGTTAAATGGAGCAGCAGATACATTTAGATGATGTTGCAGAATAGTTCTCTCTTCATTAGGTAGTAATCCTGTCAAACTGGCAAAGTTAATTCTCTAAGTTGAATTTTCAGGCAGGCAGGAGTGGCCTCTCATACCAATGCACTGACTGCTTTGAGAAGATGTTGGGATAGCAATGCAGTGAGGGCAGGGGGAGTGTGGAGGGAGAGGCATGTGAGGAGCAGATTTCTCATGGACTGAAATGCAGTCACACTGAAGACTTTTGACCCAAGCCCCCCGAAAACCTCCGTCCTCTGGAAAGAATGTGGCTTCATCTCTCCCCCCTTCTTCTCCTCCCTCCGCTCTCGTCCTCTCTCCCACGAGACTGTGAGAAGGCACTGTCTCTTACATGGTCTGTGCTGTGTTGCCTGGAATTTGATTTCCATGTGTACACTGTGTCCCATCATGTACCAATGTGTTGTTATGGGGCGAGCCTATAGCTAATGGAGTTTCATAGCCTCGCGGCTAATGAATGCTCGATGCTGATGGAGTATCACGCCAACTCACCTTTATCTTCATCTGCTAGCTTTTCCTCATTTCCATTCTGAAAATCCCCAACATATGCTGTATCTATCCAATATTTCTGCTAGTTAAAAAAAAACACATGACCATAACACATGTGGAATAATATTTTTATTTTCACAAGCAAGCCACTACTTGGGTTAAAACAAATCACATTATTGTATTGAAAACACAATAAAATGATGATCACACCTGTTAGAGGAATACTGCAAGGTCCAAACATGTTAGGACATAAATGTTTTCAGACTCTTGTATCCTGCCATATAGCGGTATGCACATACTATCTCCATCTTTGGTTGCATTGCTGTTGTCCCTTGCCTGTCATTTCCCATCCACCTAAAAAGATTTGTACTTTTCTCTTTGTACTTGATCAACATGAAAAAAAAATAATAAAAAAATCACACGTCCCTTGTATAGGGTTGTTATATAGCAATGCCACCTTCAAGTCCCTACAAGAAATATGTTTAAATTCTTGTTTGAATCTTGTTGAATTTGCATAGAGAAAGATCTCTGTTGTCCAACAATACACACAAGTACACTCATATCCCCTGTGGTGTTTCAGCCCCTTTACCCCTCACCCACACACCTGCAGGTAGTATAAATGTATCAAAAACATATATGTATGACTTTTTTTTGTGTGAGACAAAACATCTGTTTTTTCCAGAGTTCATTTGGCACATGGGTTCATTTAGAAAGAAAAATAACTGTTTGCCTTTATTACACCTCTGAAGGTATAAAAAATACATTGCATCTGCGATTCTTTCAGATTTCATGTAAAGGGTTAAGAAGGTTTCACAGAAATATATCCATTCACTTATTTCATAAATCCTCCTCCTTGGATTCACATCAGGTCAGTGGAAATGCTCATGTCTGTGATGGGAGTGCCATCGGGGATCTTGACATCATTGGGAATGAGGTCAGCGACAAGGTCATTTCCTTTCAGCTCTAAGTTCTGTAGAAGTTCGCTGACACTTTCCTCGTTGACGTTGCTCACTAGCTGCTCCAAACTCCCTGCAGCCTCCACCTCCATCTGCTTTTCCAGAGATTCTGATGTTTCCTCAGACTTCTCCGGCTCAAGTGTGGAAATCACAGAAACCTCAGCACTGTCTTGGCACTCCTCAGTCACCAGGATGTCTGAGGGCTCGTCTGCACTGTCTGGGGCAGGGATTGGAGCTGGGGAGGGAGGAGTGTTAATAGGTTGGGAAGTTGCATCAGGGACAATCAAAGGGAGTGAGGAAATCACTGGCTCAGGGAGAGACTCTTGGGTAAGCATGTCTGTCTGCTGCTCCAGAGCTTCAGCTGGGGCTGGTATTGACTCTGAGATGGGCTCAGGGACTGCCTCAACTTCTACCTCTGGAATTGAGGTGGGCTCGGGTTCGGGAACAGGTTCTGGAGCTGGCTCTGGTGTAACCTGAGCTTCAGCAATGGGTTCTGGTTCTGCAACGGGTTCTGGTTCTGCAACGGGTTCTGGTTCTACAACAGGTTCTGGCTCTGCAACAGGTTCTGGAACAGGTTCTGCAACAGGTTCTGGTTCTGGTTCTGCAACTGGTTCTGGTTCAGGAGGTGATGGTTCACTGACTGAAACCAGAGGCTCAGGTTGGACTGGAGCTGGGGTTTCCTTGGTCACAGGCTCTGGTTCAGCATCATTTAGTGGGGCTGGGGCAGCAGGAGCCTCTATCTCTTTACACTCTGATACACATTCTTCAGGGGGTAAACAGGCCACTGGCGTCACTGACTCCCCCACCACCACATCTAGGTTCTCTGTCTCCACGGTCTGCGTTATCCCAGCGTCTTCTGCTTGTTGTGTAGCCGCTGGCCCCTCTGCAGTCTTCTGTTCGGTGGTAGCAGCTTCAGCACTGTCGGCTGGGGCGTCTCGCCTTCTGTTGAACCTGTTTCCCATGATGAACCTGTACAGAAGATTAAACAACAACAAAAGGATTTTGAATGATTAAATGTCAAATTCTATGCTTTATGTGGTTTCAAAAGGTATTCAGCAGTTTTTTTCCAGCTCAATATTGCACACAGTAAGATTCCTGTTGCAGGCACTGTATGTTGAGTTGGAATTGATTTTCTTCGAAATTAATAAATATGCAATTGTTCAAGGTTGCAAAAACAAATAAAAGTAAAGAGAGTAACTTTTTTAAAGTTGCCAGGACCCACTTAGCTGGTTGAGCAAAGATTTTCCAGTTTGTGTATTATGGTACATCGTGTTCTCTTGTCTCCTCCCCGGGCTGCATGTACAGCATGTGCTATTTAGTGTCAGGATTTGAGCGTGTCTATATGGTGAATGTTTTTTTGGAGAGCCCACGGACAATGTAAAGCGTTTGATTGATTCTTTCTATCTCGCCTGTTTTGCACTTCATTGCCACCTCTAAGCTCTTAACTCCCAGTACAAATACATTCTGAGCAACTTTAGACGCGCACTGAAAACGTTTGCAACTTCACCTCACTCAGCAGCTCTGCAAAGGAAAATTATGATTTCCCCTTGCTTGCATTTTCTTATTTTTATTTGTAAAAAAATAAATAAAACAAAAAACAAGACAACCACACCTTTTTCCAGCTGTGCCCTCTGTGAGAACCGTGGATTCGCATATGCTGTTTAAAACCAATCAACCATCTAACATAATGACATGACAGATATCCCCATTATAATTATCATCAACAATAGAGAGATATTAATTGCTGCTCAAAGCAAAACGAACAAAGAAACTGTTGCAGACGACCCCGCCTCCCTCTCGTGCTGTACAAACCTAAAACCATCCAAAATGTACAAAAGTAAAAAGAAAAAAAAAAATCAACAGCTCCGGTTATAACGTGCAGTTAAAAATAGACAACCGAAACCAACCTTTTGAACCCTTTTTTTTCGGTGCAGTGAAAGTAGATGAAGTCGCAGATGATCTCGCACTCTTAACTTGGAGGAGTCCGCACTTCAAACTGTCTTTCGGAGCGCGCACCAGCCGAGTAGAGTCCCATATGTGCGCCGTGCGCGTCCTCGTCCCTGCGCGCTCCTTGCACTAACCCCAAAGAGCTACACTTCCTGAGGCACAATGATTTGGTCGCTTTGAATCTCGCAAACGTAAGTAGACAACGCCAAAAATGTAACTAATATAATGAAATAATAACACATAATATGCAGCCAATATCAGTATTATCAACTCTGCTACACGTATTCCAAAATAATCACTATTACCGAGCTTTTTTTTTTAAATGATATTTTATTGAATGCCAGTAATTTAAAGTTTTGACCGCAGTCTAATTATAATTAATGCCGTTGAATTGAAGTGTAATGTGATAATGATGGGCACGTACTGCGTTAAACATGCGTGTCTGAAGATCACTCAGACAAGTTCACGCAGATCTGTTTAATTTACATGCATTTTTGTCCATTAAATGGGCTTTTTCTGTACACACACAGAATTATTGTGGAGCGTTTGTATTGATTTCTGTCAACATGAATATTAAATCTACAGGTCAGAGGTCATAAGGCTTGAGAAGGCTTCACTTATGGCTGCTCTCTCTGTGAGGAGATCCTTGGGGTCAAGGCATTCTTTGTGGATTTCTGTGTTTCTCCTGCTCATCTTCATTCAGATGTTAACCTCCCAGGTGCTCTTTGCTGGTGTATTCATCCTCTCCAACGAAACCCTCATCAGCCCCTCTCACTTCTGTCTAATATTTCAACACGGTGAACTGACTTGTAGGGGGTACAGTAGCTTTGTTATTGAAGCGAATGAGGTAAAAATTAACATCCTCATAACAACGGTTACCCTGGGATTATACGTTCCACTGGTGCTTGTGGCCTTTGCCCTGCTGGCCATGCTGTTAGCAGCTTATGCCGAAGATAGAGCAGCACTCTGGTTGAGCATGGCCTGCCAGGCGGCATCAAGCCTGCTCATCCTGACTGGCCTTATTGCCTTTTTGATACTCAATTGGACGTATGTGAGCTGGAAGCACATGACCTTCTGGTTCTATGACTGCGTGGGTGTGCAAGTTCAGCTGGTTTTCACGACGGCACTGACCTGTGTGTCAGGGAGGAGGCTGACGTCTGACTGGAAATAGATGGGTCCAAATAAAAAAGTCACCCTCGCCTCATTAACAGGAACTTGACTTGTAATGCTTGATAAAGGAATAATCACCTTTTGACAATTAAAATATATATATATATTTTTTTACATGTTCTTTGTTATGTTTTCACTAAACACAGGCCAAACCTTTTTTGGGACATATGTTGATGAAAACTAAGTGTTATTACATGTTATTTTTTACAGATGTTACAGATGTTTTCCCTTCTTTTGATAATCAACTGGAACAAGCTGTACTTGCTTTTGAATGCTGTAATTCTAGATAGTGTGTAAATGAACTCAAATAAAGACTGTTTTCCTACTTTCTTTGATATGTACAGCTGGCGGACGTGATAGTGAAAATGAAACAAACAAAAAAAAAAAGGTAGTTGACTAACTGAGTTACTGCTGACAGTTCATGTTTTGAAACTGCTTGTTCAAGAAAGAAAAAAACCCAACTATGTATAAATAACTATATAGCTATTTCCTCATTTTTTTAAGAGGGAGAAACTAAAAAACTACAATATCTAATGAACATAAATTCACACTCAAATGTAAGAGTATGCTCCATGATCTTCTAGTTCATTACCAACGTAAGGCTTTAAATCTGTGGCGTCATGAAGAGAAAACCTTGAGTTGCTGTAAGGAAATTATCTTTTTGTTTGTTTCCACACAGGTACACAGCTGTAGTACAGCGCTCAGTAGTAGAAACTCAAGTGTTTTCCCGTTCTTTCTAACCTCTAACCATTCTCAGGTGACAGCTTCTACCAGTTTCACATTCACATTATCAAAGGATCAGCTCTCAACATCAAAAGTGTTCTGACTTTCTGCAAAATATTTATGCGGAAGAAGGTATACACTGGCATTTACACCTCATTTCGATGCAAAAACTTTGGTCAACTATTGTTCAGTATCAGTTTTTCCACTCATCTACTGTCAGTGAAGCTGTGCCACATTTTACATAGCAGAAAAATCCATTAAAGCATCACTTCTCTAAAAGTTACTTTTATTACATGGTGCTTGTGACTATGTACAGCTCCTCCATAGCTGGTATTCCACTCTTAAGAGAATAGTTTCCATTAAGTGCAAACTTGTTACACAGCTCTTAGTGCACACATTATTACAGTTTTCATCATCAGGTGAAGAAAATTTCTCGCACAAGCCGCAAGGCATCATCCTCTTCCACTGCATCTTTTGGCATCTGTGAGTGCTCCTCTCTATCCTCAGAATCCAGTCCAACATTCACGACACCGCCACGATCCCGAACTGGCCCTGACCTCTGACCCTCGGATCCCTGATGCTGTGGGCTCTTGGCGTACGGGACCGTTTCCACCTCTGTAATGTCCATGTCTGTTTCTGAAACATAGGTCGACTCCAGGGCATCACCACAGTCTGAGGACTCCTCCTCTAAAGCATCTGTCACCAGCTTAGCTATTGTCTTTGAGGAAGAAGGGTTCTCCTTCATCTTAACAGTGGAATCTGCTGCCTTGTCTTCAACCTGTGTGGGGGATCGCTCACATTTTACAAAACAGTTCAGCGAACATCCTGCATTTTACACCCACTACAAAAAATGGTGAGATATGCCTTAAAAGTGGTTTAGTTTCTTTGTTTTACTTTTTTACATGCAAGTGAGCAAGGGGCATCAAACTGGGGCTACGTGCAAGCTTACAATAAGTGGACAAAATATGTTTTGGATAGTAAAAATCCTCTGCTAGAATCAAAAAATGATTTTAGTTTCACATATATATTGCTTTAAATTTACATTTTTACTATAATGTCAACATTCTGAACAATATTGTCATGTTTACTCTTCTTATATTTTATTCATTAACAATAATTAAGTATTTTAGAGCATTTTTTGTTAGTGTGGAAACAATTTAATACGTTACGACAGAGAGAGAAAGTGCGCCACCTGTCGGTCAGTCGGGAGAACCGCGTCCTTGCAGGCAGCGTTGGTGAGATATGACACAGCAGCTTCTACCAGCTCTCTCTCGTTCATACAGTAGAAAGCAGCCCTGAAAACAAACCAGTGCCTATGTGTTACTCAAACCGACTTAAGGACATTCATCTGAAGCATAAAACCGAGACTCTGTCCGTTTCTTTACGTTAACTACCTCGCAGTTTTCTGTTTTCTCCTGCTCTTCAGCGGCTCCTTCTCTTTCACTTTCTTCTCTTTCTTCGCCATCCACGACGGCAGCGACCGGGGCCTTTCCGACATGTTGGCTCTGTTCTGCAACACCTTACATCATGTGTACATCTGTTCGAGGGTTACTCAAGTGTTATCCACCATTAAGAGACGGGGGGGAAATAAACAGAAGGTCTTCTTGGAGGGGTTTGCATGCAAGTCACGTGACACCACGGGCTGCCTGACTCTCTAGCGCCACTTAGTGGATTCACAGTTTAATGCGCCACGAAGTGTGTTAAGAATAAAAGAATCAGTTTTCAATGACAGCAATCCTATTTTTATATTTAATGAGTGTATTGTGCCGTACTAATCTCAACCAGTCCATTGTGTGGCATTACAAATCTATTTTTTTTTCTTAATGAACCCTCAAAAACATATTTTGCATCGTTTTACCTACCATTATATGTGTAAATGTAACATATTTAACTTGTTTTTTTATGTATGTGAATCTGGAAACTAGTAACCAAAGCTCTCAAATAAATGTAGTGATGTAAAAAACTGTAATATTTCCCTCTCAAATGTAAAGGAGTATTGGAATTTGTATAAAATGTGAATATTCATGAACACGTGGCCCAAAACTGTCATATAATTAGTTATACTAAATATACTAGTCAGCACCTCTGGCATTTAGTTACAACCCAACTGTCTTTAGGTTGGGTTGATTTTGAGACTTGGTGGGCTCATAGAAATGTTATTTAAGATATTTAATTGTAATGAGTTTGGATGGATCTTTAACAGTGGCACATGCTCAAATTGTTGTTATTCACATTACTGCTAAAGCTCCTTGTGTCATTATTGCATGTACTCTAGTTAATATTGGAAGGACTCATTTTTAATTAAAGAAAAAAGTTTGTTTATTTCCATCTTCTACAAATGTACCAGCACACTTACATAAACACACACACACACACACACACACACACACACACACACACACACACACACCTGTACAGTTTATCAGTGCAATTAATCTGGGTTGCAGTAGTGTGCTGTGTAATTAAAACTCTGATCATCCAAATTCACATCTCTCTTCCTGGCATTTCTGTTGTCACTCATCTCCTCGTTTGCTTTTACTTACGGTTGTTTGCAGTATTCTGCTTTGATAATATTGTCATTATATTTCATGGCAATAACACAGTTTCCTTAAAATTTTACATTAATATCTGTTTCATTATCAACGCCAACTTCTTGTATTTTTTACTCCCATTTTTCAAGATGTGTTCAGATGATCATTGTTGTTTGATGGCTTTTTTTTTTTATTGTTGAAATGCATTCTGGGTATGTGTGAACATCCTGAAGCACCAATGGCTTCTAGCTCTGTGTCCCTTATTGTGGCCAACAGTAGATAATCCACGCTAGTCTAGTCGCATGACACATTTTACCCCCTCTTTTCTCCCCTCTCTGTCCTTTTATCGCCCTCTTTCAATCTCTGATGTTCAAAACAACCTTGTATCAGACTCTCACTTTCTGTCACTTTGTACCCAAAGCTGCCTTCTCTCACTCAGGCCTTTTAATTATGTCTCTAAAGCCCCTTCCCACAAGTGCTTAGGCCTTGATTGCAAAGACCAGCTTTGTATATTTGACTAAATTAAAAAGTGGGGAAAAAGCAAAGCGCATGTTAACAGCCAGATGCACGCACAATGTCACTTTCCCTAAAGCTCTCAAGTTCAGCACATTTTAGGAACAACAAGTAATCAGAGGGCCAGACTGGTATTAAATGAAAAGAAATCCTCGAAATCTCCACACAATATTATTACTATTATTTACAACAGATAAAACACAGACAAATATCTGTATTGCTGACCTACATTTTTTTATTCCTATAGCGTATCTTTACTTTTTTTTTATGTAACACAACTGGAAAACAAAATAATTTCATTTATTGGTTTAAGTAACTGGTTTCCAGTGAAACACACACACTCTGAGGGTCCCAGGCAATTCTCCTGTGAAGCTGCATCCTATCCATTTCTGTTTAATCACAACAGTTTGTTTTTTAATTTTTATAACTCGTTATATGACCATTCATTACCGTCATTGTTAAAATAATGAAATTATTTATATATTAAGAAATATATTTAAACATTAAAGAATCTTTGAAGAACCAAAAGTGGCACTGAAACCTCCAGGCTTGCTGCCACATCCACAGATCAGGCAGTGCTAAGAAGATTTCTGTTTGCTGATGGAGTAAAGCTTGTCGCTGCTTTGCTTGCTGCTGTATTTGTGGGTCAAACGTGGTCAAAGTGTCTGCTAAACTTACCCACATGAGAGCATCTGCACTGGGGTTTTGTTTGACACTGGTTTGATGTTGATGTTGAGATTTTAATTCATCTTAATATGCCATATTTAAAAAAAAATCTGAATTCCAAAACATACCGATCCATAAATACATTATGTATATTTCCAACATGCATATTGCGAATACAGCATGTACCGCTGAAAACAGAGATTTATTTGGATCATTTGATCAGGAAAGTTAAACGAGTCATTTTCACCTAATCTAATCTATATCTCCTCTCGTTTTCCAGTTTCCTCTTTTACATGTTCTTCTTACTCTGAGGGCCCTAATAGGAAGGACCGGACAACTCTTCCGGTTGTCTTCCTAGGCTTAACCCTGCTTTGAGTAAGGGTCATTACCAGTGGCCATCTGTCTCAGAAACGCTTGCTGTGATTGGCCATATGGCGTAAGAGAGAACAAGATTTAGGAACGAGTAGAATGTTTAAAATTAATTAAGATGGTCATAAAGGGAGATGATGTTATCTGGTGGGAGAGACATAATGTCGTCTCATTGTGTTACCCAGGATCATAGTGCGCGATTATGACTGCACGTCTATGTTCCCAGATGCAGACTTTGTTATAAGTAAAACCTTTCTTTCTTTCCTGTGTTGCAACACAAACAGCTTCAAATGCCTGAGATTAGGCACACACAATCTGCCACCTAAGGAAAAGAGGAAGCAAATTTTACCTTTAAGGAGGCTTTTAACTCCCACTTGGCTTTGATCGCTTCCAAACACATGGGACCCAATTATTCCCAGTATGAAATCATATTCAGAGACAAAATTCAGCACAATATTTCAGCACTCATTCAGTGTGTTTATATACATACACTGTTAGGGGTCTGTGATATGTCTATATTTTTATTTTTTTTACATTTTGGCAACATTTTTACAGATACCTAAATGAAAAAGCACATCACCTCCTGTGCAAATTTTTTTTTTCTTCAGTAAAGATATGTGTGTGGAAATCATCCACATTTCTAGCCAAAAAGTCCCATACAGTTTTAACAACAATATTTACTTCCTATTAAATAATATATTGATGTTTTGTACAAACACTGTGATATATAGTCCAGATAGTACGGTAGATGGAATTGTAGTTTTTGTGCTATTTTTATCAGTTTACATATGCTGCTTTCATCCATAGAACAGATTATTTTATGGGAGAGGGACAGAGAACAGGGCAGAGTTAAGCTCTTCCTCCAGAGGAGAGTGAGGATGAGCTAGTGAGCAGTGATGAGGAGAATGACGTTGATGTGAACCTGGATGTGAGCAGTGACAGCTCAGAATCAGGCACACAGATGTAGAACCAAAGGAAACAGGTTGAGGTATTGGACAGTTCATCTAAGTTGATGATTACTAAATGAAATCTAAGACACTGACTGAGAATCCTTAAATAAAAACTAGGAAATACATTTATTTTTGATCAAGGTAATGATGGTCCCTGTGTCTTATTACAGGTGTATTACGATGTTATTATTAGCATAGATTCCAAATAACAATTGAACTAATATTAATTTAACTATTTATACATTAGGATTTGTTTAGTTTTGTTTTCATTAAAAATATGTGGCAACAATTTACCAACTATCCACTTGAAAATTTCTAAAAGCTTATTTTTCTTATAAGTAATAAAAAACACTTTTAACATAAAAAACATTTATCATGTTTAAATAAGGGTTAAGGAAAACAAATTCCCAGATGACATATATTGAATACCAAAAACAATCTGTTCCCCTGAAAATATGCATTTGCACTAGGATGCATAAAGTTTGGGTGTGATCTCAAATGAACTAAAGACTAGAAGAAGGAAAGGGAGAAAATTAATTTGCATCTAGTTGCATGATGCTAAATGATTTCAAATGGCAGATTAGTGGGAGACAAAGGTTTTCTGTGGGTCTGTTTGTCTAATGAGGTTTCCTTTCTGGAGTTTAACAGCAGCTCTTCCTGCTGCATGATACCACATATGTCTAAATATATCCATGAATAGGATGTTTGTGCTTACTCTCTTGGGTCAGTCTGGTTTAAGCTGACTATTATGTAAGGAATCATCTATGGGGATGATTAAATCCATGTCAAAATGATACCTTAAAGAAAAAGAAAGAAAGAAAGTAAGTTATGCTGTTGGTGGACTGTAAGTAAAGGCTTTCATTGCTTCACTAGATAACCTAACGTTTGTCTCCTCGGCCAAGTGTAGGAATTAACATAGTGGACTGTGCATCAGGGTGATTAGTTGTGACATAATCTACAGTTGTACCATCAAATGCCCGTGGCCCGAGCCGAGGCAATAAAATCAGTCGCGCTTAAAAAAACACAAATCAATGTGATGATAAATGAGAAGTCAGTGGTGTGCGGTAATCCGTTCCACCTTATTAAAGTCAGAACTTGTACGTAGGCTACTGTGCTTCCTCATCAACAGTAATAGGCCAAATCCACAGGGATTTTCTGCCAATCACTGGCTCGTGGTAGTATCTTAATGACTTTTCCTTGGAAGCTGATAAAAGTGCTTTTCCTCCAAATTTGTCAATCTGTTGTGTTTTGCTGCACCGAGCTGATGAAAGCAACACTGGTGCGGATTCAAAACAAGTCCAGATCGCTTTGAAAACAGTTAAAGAAGCCCTAAAAGACCATATTGCCACATGAAACGTCCTGCTGTGTAATCCCTGACACTTAAAGATGACTCCTTCCTTGAAAGCTCTGACAAACAACATTATTTTTTTAGTTTCAGGACATGCACATGCAGTCGTGCAGATAGTCGCTTACATGTGTGCATTCTTTAACAATAAGAATAAAAGAAAGAATGGAGGGAATGAAAGTTGATTTCACCCAGCAGTGTCACCTGGCTCACTCAACCTTAGACTGTGCCAAATTAAAGATGTTCATTTCATCCTTAAGCACACGCTAA